TATATATATATTCAATTAACTATACCATGGAGAGGGGAGAGTCTTATTGGAGACTACCGCTTTGTTCATCATTGTCATAATTAATTAATAAATATCGTCAATTATTCTTCAAAATAGTTTGACGCCTTTCCTCTCTCCATATCTTCCTTTACTCCGGCGCCGGTGAGGGAACCGTCGAAATACCATGCAGTTTTTTTTGGTATTGAAATGAAATTAGAGGTGTCAATTTAAATACAAAATCCGATATCCGATCCAAACCACCTAAACAGTAATATCAGATTTCAACTTGAATTCGCAGGTTCGAATAAATTCGGATTATGTAAGATTAGATGGTTCAACAGATAAGAAAGGGAACAAAACTCTTTTTTAATCCGGATTTGAGTCATCACTTGAAAAGGGACATTTATATGAGTTTCTCCAATCTTCTAGAAGATATAAACGGACCAAAAAGCGAATGAATTTCCAAATTATAAAAAAAAAATTCGGATTTTCAAACCTACCGATCCAAAAACCCTATCTAATTTACAACAAATAAATATAAAAAATATTTTGATGTGTGATCCGACCCAAATCTGATTCTATAGGATTGGAATTCGAGGTTCGTTTCTATGAGCATGTAAAAATTTAGTCCAATCTTTAAAACCGAACCCAAAACCTTCGAACTGAATTTTCACTCAAACTGGATCGATCTATTTGACTCTCCTAACCGAAATTTATGTTGTACTGTTGGTTATTAGTCTATAAAATCAAACCAAACCAAAATCCACTTAATCGGCTTGGTACCGTTCACAATTTTCGGAACTCAAATACCAACTCCGAATTGGAGGGAAAGCTTATTGGGACAACATTCACCCCGAGCACCCGTTTATCCTAAATTCACAAAACAAAACCAAACCCCAAACAAAACAAAAAAAAAGGGGGAAGCCGAGATGTTGTCAAGGGAAGGTACAAAAACCCTATTAAATAATATCACAGCACACCCATGACGATGATGATGACATCCGCATCATCATCCATCAGTACTTGTAGTCCTTGACGTGGAGGCTCTCGTCGGCACCCTCCCCACGCTTGGCGTCACCCTTGTAGGTTCCGAGTGTGGCCTCTGAGTTGGCCTTACATCTCACCACGAACGCTTCTTGCGCCTTCTTCACGTTCTCCTCTTTCCCCGCCCACGCCTTGAGCGTGCTCTGCTGCAGGGCTCGTCCGAACGAGAATGACAGCGACCATGGCTTCTTCCCCTTCAGCTGGTTCATCGCGTTCAGGTTAAGTGTCGCCTCTTCCTCGCTCTGCCCACCGGACAAGAACACGATGGCTGGGACGGCTGCTGGCACAGTCCTCTGGAGGGCTCGGACTGTGTGCTCGGCTATCACCTCGGGTGCCACCTTGCTGCTTTCCGACCCGGGTGTCACCATGTTGGGTTTCAAGAGGGTACCCTCAAGCAATACGTGGTGGTCGTTCAAGGCCTTGTAGCAAGCTGCGAGGACGCGCTCCGTGACCGCCGCACATTTGCGGATGTCGTGTGGTCCGTCGACAAGGATCTCAGGCTCCACAATGGGGACAAGACCGTTCTCCTGACAGATGACGGCATATCTAGCCAACCCGTAGGCGTTCTCGTGGATGGCTAGCTCAGAAGGCTCATTCGGGCCGATCTTGAGGACAGCACGCCACTTGGCGAAACGGGCACCAGCCTCGTAGTACTTCTTGCAGCGGTCACCGAGACCGTCAAGACCCTGTGTGGTGGTCTCACCGTTGGTGCCAGGGAGCACGACGGTACCCTTATCGACTTTGATACCTGGAAGGACTCCACCCTCTTTCAAAAGGTCAACAAAAGGCTTCCCTGCATCAATTTAGCAACCAGTAAACAACCGAAACGGATCAATACAGTACAGAAGATACATTCACTGCATATTGTGTATATACCATCGGAAGTCTTCTGGTAGAGGGTTTCCTCGAAGAGGATAACGCCGCTGAGGTAATGGAGGGCACCGGGAGCGGTGAAGAGGAGCTCACGGAGAGCACGCCTGTTGGACTCGACGTTCTCGACGTTGATGCTAGCGAGACGCTTTCCGATGGTACCGGTCGACTCATCGGCGGCCAGGATCCCCTTTCCGGGTGTGCCAATGTAGGCTGCGTTAGCGATCAGCTCATCTGCAATGTTCAATACAGAAAAAAAAAAAAGAAACGCATAAACAATAAGAATTTGAAATGTTCTACGCAGTTAAACTTCAGTTTCGAATCATAGATTCAGAAATATTCATTCACGAACGGAACCAGTTAATCAGATTCAAACAAAAACAAAACATGGAATTCCGCTGGTACTCACCCAAGATTAAACCCTAAACCCTAAACCCGATCCGAAACTACGTAGAATACAAACCCGTTTATCCGAGTCAGGCACACAGCGAACAGAGTCGTCCTACAATCGAATTGAGTCAGATCCAGGCAACTCGGACACAATCACGAAATATTCCCGAAAAACAACAACGAATCAACGATCAACTCACATGAAAAAATACAGATCCAAAGACGCCGAAGCAAGATCAGAAGCGGAATAAAACACGGAAACAACCAGGTCTAACAATCATATAACCAAGTCGGAATCAGACACAGCACCAAACACCACCGGTAAATTGAAGCTACAGCAAAAGAGACTCAGAGAAACATATACATCTACATATATAGAGAGAGAGATATCTTACCGGCGTATTTACTCTTAAAGGCAGACATGGTCGACGGATGAAGAAGATGATGAGAAATTTGAAAGGAAGGTGAAGTAGAGAGGGAAAATGGCGGTTTTTATAGATGAGAAAGCGTAGAAGGTTCGGAAAAGGTTGAAGTCGTAATCAATGGTTGAGATCTGTGGTCTGTTTTCCAACAAACGGCTGCTCAGCCGTTGGATCTCACATGGTTTCCATGGCGGTTTTTAACTTTTTTTTATAGTCCTGTGGTTTTGGTAATGATTAGATTTTTTTTCTATTTTGATTAGTGTTCGGTATTGGTATTGTTGTTGGATTTGATTTTTTAAAACTATTTATATATTGGATTCGGCCTTCTTCTGAATTCGGTTTTTATTATTAAAAATAATATTTATTTACAAAAAATCTCCTTTTTTATATTATTTTAATATTTGGTTCAAATTCTATTTGTAGTCATTGTTTTTATTTTATGCTACATTCTATTAGAGTGCATTTATAGTTAATGGATTGGTCGAATGTAAATGATGCCAAATGAGAGATTTAATTTTGTTAAAATTTGGCTAATTTTTTTTTTGTTTCTAAATCCGTAATTGATGAATAACAATTAGAAAATGCAAGGCAAACTCTAGTCTTTTCAAGACAAAACATTATGTCCCCATAGAACAAACCGAACTTCCTCATAACCAACTGAGAGTGTTCCTCGTCCATGGGAAGAAGCCGGTCCGAGCTGGTTTTCAGTTTCAGACATCGGGGGAAATTACATCGAGAGTTCGGTAGAGAATTACGAAAATACCCTTTTGCGTTATTTCTATCGGATCGAAAATTACACGGAAAGAAAAAAAAAAATTAGAGAGAGATAGATCTAAGAAAGGCATCAAGAGCTCAAGGAATTTTCTACAAGATTTTGCATCATTGAGCGCCCACCAAACCTTTGTTCTTCATCTTCAAATGGACTAACCGTCATTTTCCTACAACAGAATAAAGCAAAGGGGACCATTATATAACCAGAGAAGTGAGTCATAGACAGAAAGAACAATTGGTGCAATAAGGTGTGGATCCATAAAAAAAAAGAGAGAGATATGAAGCCAAAATATAAAAAAAAAAATGGTGGGTCCAAACCAAATCTATAACGTCTTTGATTTTTCAGTGTCAATCAAGAGTTTTAAAGATCAAGGGTTTACCTTTTTCATCTCATCCACAATGCCCAATTCCTCCTTTGAGTTCTCAGTCAAGCAATTTGTATGGACTATTGTGGCCTTGGCCTCGATACCGGCTGAGGCAATGGGCAAGTAAACCGCCCCCTTGAACATCCATCGATCCATTTCTGGACTGAAATGGTCATGGAACATCTCTCCACACAAGATGCATGCACACTGGTTCTCGTCTGCCAGGACAGCTGGACCATCTTCCTTCATTGCCTCGGGCTCCCTCTGAACGATAGGGAGATCGGGTTCAAGCTGGCTAGGTTTTCCTGCCACCCAGTCATCAGCTTTTGGAAACCAAGCCCATGACTTTTTGCTCTTGCTCTTCTCATCATGCTTTCCCGAGTGCATTAAAAGTTGTTCCTTGTGTTTTAGGCGAATGCCATCATCAAACAGACTACCGATCACCGCAGGGTGAAATTCCCGGATTTTGTCCGGCCTAAACTGCAGTCCTATGAGGTCGTCTGACTCCAGTCTTGCTGTTTCAGATGGCGGATCAGGCCCTTTTGCTTTAGGGGCTGTGGATGGGCCCCTGTTCACTGAAGCCTCTGGCTTATTATCCGATGGAACCGCGGTTACAGATATAGAGCTATTGGTAGAATGATCTGGACTATGGTCCTCTGTTGCAGAAGCAACCTGGCTCTGTGAAAGGGATGACAACTCTGTCTTCGAAGCCGATATCAAACCCTTTGAAACTAAGGAGCTCAAGAGGCTTGATATAGGATCTGAGGCCTTACTACTATTCTCATCAGAAGTCTTATTTGCCGTTGGGCAAGAACCAGGCAATGGCGATGGCTTTCCAACTTTTAAACGAGTAGATGAATTCTCATTGGCCACTGAGTTTGGCAATGATGGTGGGACTGTCCTAGGTCTAGAGGCTGCGGAGAGGGATTGCAATCTTGGATTCTCCTCATCTTGAAAGCTCTCCTCCTTCAATCCACCACCAGTCGGGTTTTTAGAAAGGATTCCACTCTTCATGACAGCAGCCAGCAAATTGCTCACGTCTGATTGGCCTGGAGCATCCGAAGCAACAGGACGTGAAACACTACCTGAAGACTGGGATCGCTCAGGTTTCACTGGAAGCCGGGAAGTCCTAGGATCACGTTGAGGAAGGGAATTAATTCTTCTAACATCTTGCTTCGTCAAAGTCTGTAGCGAAGCTGAATCATGTACGGGTGATTGTCTATCTGATTCAGATGCTGAGTGTGGCAAAATACCGGAGCCTGGGGCTCTAACACGAGATGAAACAGCTTGAGGCCGAACCCCTTTTCTTGTTAGAGTAGAGGTCCCACCAACCATAGAAGAATAACCTTCTGAATTATGCTGAACAAGACTATCTTGCGACGACCTTGGAGAAGATATCAAGCGACCATATGCAAGTCGATCTTTTTGCTCACTTGAATATGAATCAGTTGAATTCTCAGACTCAAACCTTGTCCCCACGTCTGGTAGTCTAGTAGATCTCAATAGGTGATTTTCAGACTCCTACATGTGATAAAAAATGCATCAAGTTGGGAAAGTTAACCACAAATACGGTATAATATATACAGGACAGCAAGTTAAAATTATAGCTCACCAATCTCTCCGATTCATCTGTTGTCCAAGGCTCATTCCTCAAGTTGATGCTGGTTACATCAGTTTCAGTTAGTCTTGAGTGCATGTCCCACATAAATTCATCTTCTTCAGAATTTTTCCAACTACTAGAGACACCGATACTACTTCTACCGGGACCACTTGGATCTGGATTAGACAATCTGGCAGCACTGTAGGTGGAAATTCTGCCTTTGGTATTTAACCCATCCCTCTGGCCGGAAATCATCTCAGGAAAACTGCTCATAGATCCATACCATTGCCTGCCATGTCCTTCATCTGTAATCCTCGAACCAATTTTTTTATTTCCTGATCTAGAATGCTGCGGTAGATCAGAAGCGTAATCATATTCACCGGGTATCGAGGTGATATCTTTCTCATAAAGAGGTTCGCTAAGTGACTCTCTTGGAGGTCTCCGAATGCTCTGAATCCAACACAATAAAATTAGTAAACAGAAACAACAGGTAGCTACCTACCTGTAACAATACATATATAAAGATAATGTTCAACTTACATTTGCTTTAACAGATGGATCTACCCATGTACCTCCAGCTGCTAAGCTTGAAGCTCTCTCCAGTCTATCTGAATCCCCATTCGAGTTAGATATGATACCAGGAACATCAGTAACCATTCCTTTTGCCTGCCAAAAAAAAAAACAGAAGGAACAACAGGCTCAACGCAAATCAGATAAGAAGCCTTCACAAGCTAATATCCATAGAAAACCTTGGAACCCTTAAAATGAAATTTGACAGTGTCGATCCCAGACCAATCAAACTGTCCAAGATTACACTCAATATCGATACCTTAATTATCAAAACACAGAGAAGAGAAATGGTTAACATTCCTAAGGCTGTGGTTTGTCAATAAAAAAAATAGTTTCAGTGGCCACAAGTTTATTTCACTTACCCTGCTCGATTGTTGTAGGTGCTGCCGTTCCAGATACTTGGGATTCACATGAATGCTATGAGATGGGCGCTGAGATGATGGATCAGCTCTAGTTGTGGTAACAACAGATGGCGAACTCTCATGTCTGGAATTAAAGCCAAGTTCTTTCTCGATAATTTGAAGTGTCTGTGGATGAAAGACTCCTTTCCACGTTCCAAAAAGATGACGCATACTTGAATGTGTAGGAGGATCAACTTGTCTGTATGCCTTAATGAATATCTGCAATGAACAGAGAAGTTTATCAGGTATGTAGCTTCCCACATAAATTATCTATATAACAGGTACAAAAACCAAACCTCAGGCAGCCTTGCAGCAAAGTATTTAATATAATCCCTTCCGATATTCTTCACAATGCTATCTAACAGGTACAATGATGGTAGTTTTTGATCACTTGGTACCTGCAAGACATTCTTACAATCAGATAACCCTGCTGATTTCAACTTATAAATATTAACATGGTGATAAGCAGGAGGGTCAAGATAGAAAGTTTAAAGCACTTCACACCAAGAAAATTTAAGCTACTACCAGGATGGATATACCCTAACAACTATGAAATTCAATAATAGTCCCGAAAGCCACAAAGTTGGCGCTAACTAGCTGATTGAAAAGAAAACCTAAAGGGAAAAACAGTCCAATCTTTCCAATCAACTGGATTGCATAAGCTGTATCGATTTGTTTCTTCTTTGGCACTCAAATAAGATGTGAAATCGACTTCGCCTTTTACGAGAATAATTATAAGCTTGTTTGTTGGTTAGTAGGCTCAGGTGCCACTAACAGCCAGTCCCGCTTTCCTAAGAATAGAGCTGCGAAATTTAATAAAGGGAAAGAAACGAGCATATAAAACAAAGATATATAGAATTCAAAGTGACCCAAATCACCATTGAGAGACAACTGCAGTGTGATGAACATTGGCAAAACATAAACATATAGAGCTGTTCAAGTCTTACAGACTAAGCTGCCTTTTACAATTATCTTGAGAAGGAAATCGTGATTAAAATCACCAACAAGCATACACAAAAGGAAGAGAGATCTTGATTACTTTCATCAACATGGTGTTTAACATCTCCCCAGAGCAGACCTTCTATATAAAAGTGACATTTTGATACACGGAAAGAAAAAGCTTATGAGATCTCTTGCCAGTGGACAAATCACCGGATACATTGACACAATGCCCTCGTCTCAGAGATTTGAACACACTCTAAGAGACAGTTGCAGATAAAAAGCTTAAATATGAAATGAGATGAAATATGAACATGGGCAATAACAGGGTTGCAACAACAGGATTGGGAGATTGTATGATAATATACAGTGCCAGGAAATACCATGATGGCTTGAGTGTCAGATTTAAACAGTAGTATACATACGATGGTAAAGGTGATAACTTGCTTCCGAAAGATCTTCTGAGCTCGGATAAAAGCAGAGAAACCACACGAATTCCACAGAAAGGACACTAAGGTTTACTTAAAAACTATAAAAAATTCTCATTGAACCTCGTAATACAGATACAATTTCAGCCGCCCTTTTACTATACCTCCGTTTTCTTTACAATTAATCAAACAAGAATCTCAGGAAGTGAACATGCAACATATAAAACTACTATAACAGTGTGCATAAAAACTGGGTGTTCACCTCGAGGATGTTGTTGAAAATTGTGGATACGATGGCCTTCGCCGCATGAAGATTCTCTCCTGCGATTATCGTCAGGTTCGTTATTATGGGCTTCGAATTGAAAATAAGCTCCGCCAGTGCCGACTTGTACTGGCTCACGAGCTCATGGTGCGGATTCACTGGCTGTGGCTGATACGCCTCACGGCTCGGGTCACCGCTATCCGCTCTGCCTCCGGCTCGTAATCTCGCAACCGGTGTTACGGACACTGAGCCGAGAGGTCTCTGTGTCGGAACCTGCCGCGCGTTCGGATTCGAAGGCCGAATTGGTTCCTCGGCTATGCGCTGTTTCTTCATCGGACCGGGATCTCTGGATCTATCAAACGGTCTTCGCGAATTCTCCATTTCAAAAAGGAACAAGAACGCTCAACAAACGAGCCCTAAAATCTAATCCTAATTCTCGCAGACAATTGCTAAACAATTAAATCCTCTTAACATCAAAAGGAGAGAAAAAAAAGATCCTCGTTACAACGAACAAAACTTCTGAAAACAACGATACAGCAAAAAATTGGAGCTACAAAATAGTTGTAAACCCTAAGTTACAAGACAAAAAGTGAGAAGCATAACAACAGAAGGGTCGGAGATAGAAATGAATGAGGCGCCGGAAGCTTCGAATCGGCGTCAATGGCAGAAATTGGATCGATGTAGGGTTAGGATTGGGGGTTTTATAGGCGAGAGTGGGGGAAAGGAAGGCTGAAGGAGATGAGCAAAGAAAAAAGAGTTGAAACAGATTCAGCTGTTACAGAAAATGATTCGGCCCAATTGACAAATGGACAAAGGCCCATAAAGCCCATTCCCCACTAGCGTCTGTTACAAGAAATGTTTGGGCTCATTTCACAGATGGATAAAGGCCCATAAAAGCCCATCTATTTACCACGCGCACACGCCGCTAAAAAGTAAAGCAAGGTAGCAGTAAGATTCATGCTTTTTTTTTTTTTTTTTTTTTTTTTTTTTTTTTTTTGCACAAGTGATTGTGAATTCAAAAGCAAAGGACAAAACTGTCAAAACATGACCGAGGTCCTTGAAGAATCTCAGGACAAACACAAACTACATTAACAACTGCAGACTCCATGGCATTCATTTTCAGGCTATTCTGATCACATCACACACCAACAAAAACATAACCAACAAAACATCTTGAAGAATCTCGGGTATCCGTCTGTCTTCTCGAGGTTAATAAACATACGGTAGTATTCTCCAGGGGACGAGTCTGCGATATTCCGCCCAAATATCCTTGTATTTCTGGGCACATCTCGTTTCGTCTCTCCGTTCTCTCCATATCAAGAGGATAAGAAGGTATATCGGGTAGAAATACGGGATCAGAGAGCTGAGGAGAGGAAAAAACATAAACTTTATCAGACCCGAAACACCGGTTTTCATTTGCTCAACACTGTCTAATGGCAAAGAACCAGAAAGTTAAATAAACTATTACATTATATTTTTTGAGTGTTTAGTTGATAAATGTTGTCTTATGATCCACATATGATCATTAAAAAAACGATCTTTAAATATGTTTCTCTGCAAAATAATCTCTATCGTTAGAAAGACTCTTCGGGATTTAAGGGTTTCATGGTTTTGTTCTCAATTTCTAGGATTAAGATCGATGAAAGATCATGGAGTAAAGAAGTACCTTATCCCACAGGGCAAGCTGAAGGAAAGAGCCAGCATCAAATCGCCGAGGTAATTACAGTGCCTTGCAATTCCCCTGTAATGGAGAAATTACAGTAGTTGTACCATATCGGAAATTGCAACTTTAGTTTCATGAGATGAGTCACCTCGTGAATGCAGCTAAATTTTCACTTCTATTATCAACCCGACTTTAAGAATTCATCCTATGCCTTCCCCATTAGAAGTTCATGAATATCACTTCCAATGAGTTGTATGGACCAAAATTGTAACCATGAGGGACAGTCTGATGAATTGTCAAACACATTATGGTAAATTGAACTCTACCGTCTTACCCGAGAGAGAAAATGAATTAAGATAAAGAAAAACATGGAAACTAGAGGATAAGGATAAGGAGAAAATGATATACCAATAACCAGAAGCAAGCAACTTCCCACCGATTATCACTGGGGGTTTACCCCAGATAGGTGCTTTAGGGTTCTTCTTAAAGATATGCTTCTGCTTGTTAGCTCCACGAAATACCATATACCTGCAAAAAAATTTAGTCTATGGCTCACTTGGTTCGGTTCTTAAGTATGCTATGATCCAGAGGAAGAACTTACCCTATCAAGAACACAAGGCAATTAGCTACCATAGCAGCAAATGTTAGCTCTACTTTGTTGTGTAGGAGCCACCAGCCCTATATACCATAGAGAAGACATGTATAAATGTAGCATAACCATGTAAAAATGTAGGATAACCATAATCTTGGGAAAGATTATAGGGTTCTCTTTGTAGATTTTCGGGTTCAGACTATGTTTGAGAGATGAGAGATCAAACTTAAGTTTCTCTTGTTTATTATTGTAACTTGAAGTTACTTGCCTGTATGCTGAAAGTGAAAGGAATCCAAACGAGATCTCCAAACACCAGCATGAAGCCCAATCTTTCTGCAATTATGTCCCATCTGAAGCATATATAAGCAGATGGGTGAATGCATAAAAATCTTCTAATGGTTCCCAGAAGTAAAATGAGTGTACTCGGTCAGAAAATCTGGAAGCATAAATTATATGAGAGTCGGTCCAAATAGACACGGTGCACTTACGTAGAGGTCATGTACTCCTCATGAACAAAGTAGTCCAATACGTATAGCTGCAATAACAACATTGAAGAAACAAGTTATTTCAGCAGGCGGTAGAACTTGATGAAGAAGAAAATCGTAGAAAGTGAACCCGAATTACCGCACAAAATATCTGGTAGAGAATCATTGACCGACTCAAGGAATCATCTTGGATGCTTTTCGCAAGAATTGAGAGATTGATGAGCAGCCATGCCATCATCCCCGCTCTGACAAAGTAAAACCTATACAAGAAATAAACCCCCATAATAAACATACATAATCATAGATATCTTCATACCTGTTTACTCATTATGAAATCATGGCAAACATTTTTGGATAAGTGAAAATATATACGTCAGAAACAAGAAATTCTGAGGCAGCCTGGGGTCTCTAAGAAATGCAAGGGAATGTCACTTACTTAAGATCAATGCCCATAAACTGAGGATTCAGCTGTATTCCAAACCACCTATCATATCATATGAGATAAACAATACTGAGAATAATAAAAATGGCTTTTTGTAAAAAGTAAATCCAAGAAGAACTAAGACTCTGGGTTTCGAGTGCAAATTCAAAAGCCAAAGGGCGTGCCGGTTAAGAAGATAAAAGAGTGAGCCTATTGAAAAAGGTGAGGCAGAAGACGCTGATTCAATCCTTAGTTTTACGGTGGTCAAATCCAAAACATATAACATCACTGTAAGGTTTTATCAAATGTGTGTGTGTGTGATGACAGTACCAGTCATCTATAAAGTTTCCTGTGATGTGAGGCTTTAGAGAAGAACTCTTATAGGAGGAATTGCGTCCAGTAACGTACAGCATCACTGTTACCTGAGAATACAAAGAGAAGCCATGAAATTAAACACTGCAAAATCAGAAGCATATATATATATATATATATATATATATATTCTTACCAGAACACTGAAGATAAAAGTAGCAGAAAGTAGCTCAAGTCCTCTATCCGCAACCACCTGCAAAATATATCGGTGCTATTACTACAACAAAGCTGCCCAGGTCGGATATGACTGTCTAATGCTTATAACAAATACAAAGCACATTTTCCAATAATCTGAACATAAATCTGGGGAAGGAGCATGTAATCTATGTATATGATACTATCATATATTGGCTTTAACGTTTAAATAGAGATGCATGTATGCTGGGTTTAGCTTCGTTCTGATTTGGTAAATTTATTTTGCTATGGTCTTCATTCCTGCGTTTCCAGTCCTTTTCCACCATAAATAATACGAACCACACTGTCTAAAACCAACACAACATGTCAAAATCATTATGCTCGAGAAAGAAAATGGGGCAAAACTGGATTTCTTGCAAACAAATAGACCAACAAAAAAACAAAAGGGAATTGCATTGTCCTCAAGGATGACAGGAAGAACACAATCTCCACAGATATAAGCCTCGAAACAGACTTTGTCAGACAACAACTAACCACAGATATTCGATCAAAGTGAAAATATACATACAAGAGGTGAAAAAATTCTCATCTTTGCACTGATTCCCAGAAGTGCAATCAGCAGTATGAGCGCAAACAGTCCTGAAAAGATTGGAAACTAATACTTAGTGAATGAGATACAAGTAAATTAACAGATAAACACTTGATTTCAAGAGATTAGTCAGAGAAAAGGGAAAGATGACCATTGCATTTGTAGCGAAGTTGGGATCCATCAGATAGAGGAACGCCGCGGATAACTCTCCCAGGAAGAATTTTTCCCGCAATCGCCAAGTAAACGAAGTAAAACACAAGCACTGCAACCTAAATTCCGTGGAAAAAAAAAAAGATTGTAAATTTAGGGAAATTTTGTAAAACCCAGAAAAACCCTCAAATCGATGAAAATGGGTATGATCCAAAAACCCAAGAAAAAACAAAAAAAAAAAGCCATGGTACATTGGGACATTAGAATCGAAGAACTTCAGGGTACACGAGGCAGCTGGGAAGAAAGAGAGGAAACTCACAGATTGAGACGAGGGAACTAGAGATTGCAGAAGGACACCCAGATCCATTTTCAAAGCCACTGGAAAGATTAGAAACTAGACGACGCGCATTGAAGATCGATAGAATCGAGACTCGACTTGTTTACTCAGATGGCAGAAAAAAAAATTCAATTTTTTTTTAGTGGGAATCTCGGGTCCTGGTGTCTATTTCATGAACTCAGATTTGCAATTTAATCTGCTCTCTCTCTCTATATATATATACACAGAGGTATATGATTTGGAAAAGTTTTAGGGTAATAGATTTTATGTTTTTGATGGATATCAAAAAGCAGGTTTGCCCGAGAGGTTAAGGGGGAAGACTTAAGATCTTCTGCACATAAGTGCGCGTGGGTTCGAACCCCACAGCCTGCAGCCTTTTATTTTTTTTAATATATAAATGACACATTGATTTTTTATAACCTCAATGTCGTCATGTATTAAACATGATTTCTTCAACTAAATAGCAAAAGAAAAAAGGTTATGTTTTCACAACATGTTGCCTGACACTATTCATTCATTCACCCATAGAAACATTACTTATCCAAGAACAGGTTAACTTGCAAAAAGCCAGAAAATATTGGTGCGTATCATATCATACCAACAAAGATTGCCGAAAATGGTATGTAAAACATCCAATTCTTTATTAATAATCTCAATTATAAACAAAATTAACTTTATTAATTACATAAATCAAATTGGGTTTAGCCCAAGGAGAAAATCGTTGTTACGGAAAAGAAAACAAAAGGGCGTTCTTCCCACAAAATCAGACTACTCACTCGTTCACCATTTTTTGTTTCAGCTCATGTTTATGATTTAAAACAAAAATAAAAATCCCAAGTGGCTCATATGATAAACCCAAAATTTTCTTTATAATAATTACCCGATATCGAAATGTAACAATTATTAAAAAGAAAACATTCGATTAAATGAGAAAACAAGTTTAGCGAAAACTTAAAGAGTTAAATGATTAACCAGCAAAGACGAAATATAAAAACAGGGAAGCATAATAATTAATTACCAAAACTAGCAAAAAGAAAAGTCACTGTCCCCTTCTATTATTATATATCAATGCCGGAAAAAAAAAAAGAAAACAGATTAAGAGTAAATGAAAACACAACAGAACAGAACAGAACAAAATGCGTTTAAAAGAAGACACGGAAAGAAAAGGGCGTAACAATGTGCCTAGTAAGGCTCGACGGGCTTGCGGAAGCTGGCTCCTGCGTACACTGCCTCCGATCCAAGCTCCTCCTCGATACGCAACAGCTACACCACACGCATTATATATGATTTATTACCCGATTTCCATGTAAAACCCGAATATGAAAATAACTGAAAGCCAACAAAATTTCTTTATCGATAAAACAGAAATATAATTGCATTTGGTTTGGGATTGTAGCAAAAAAAACCTGGTTGTATTTGGCGAGACGCTCCGATCTGCACGGTGCTCCGGTCTTGATTTGCCCCTGATTTATACCAATACCCGATATGAGGGTCGAAGCGAAGGCGACATGGAAAAACTCAAATCAAGAAAAAAAAATGTCTTTTTTTTATAAACGTACAGTGGCCAAGCCGACGGAGAGATCGGCAATGAAAGTGTCCTCGGTCTCTCCACTTCGGTGGCTAGCCATCACGCCCCACCCGGCTCTCTTCGACATCTTCACTGCCTCAATACTCTCGGTGACTGATCCGATTTGGTTAACCTGTTTGTGTGAATGATTCAGTAACCCCACAAATGATAACATCCCATCTCGGACTACAATTATCTGAGGCCAACCCCCGATTTTCGGGTTTCCCTCATATTACAACCTGATCTCATCTCATATAGTGCTCAGGAACCCTAATTTCAGGTTCTTTTGTACAGCCGTCTCGAGAGTCTCCAGAGTGTGTATACAACGTACCTTCAGAAGGAGAGCATTGCAGGTCTTCTCATTGATCGCCTTCTCGACCCTCTGAAGAACGGAACAAAAGTGTCAATGCATTTGCAACGAAGAACTAAAGAGGGCAGAGCCAAGTGAAGCTCAGGTCGGGTCAGGTCTCGGATTAGTTGACAAACCTTAGGGTTGGTGACTAACAAATCATCTCCAACGATCTGGACCTTGTCTCCAATCTCAGCAGTCATCTTGGCGTAGTGTTCCCAGTCGTCCTGGTCGAACGGGTCCTCAATGGACACGATTGGGTACTTGGAAACAAAGGATTTGTACAAGTCCTTGAGAGCATCCCCCGAGATCTTCTGAGAACCATCGTTGTTCTGCAAATAGATGGAAAGAACAGAGAATCAAAACACACATTCAAAGCTGAGTTCTGAAGAAGGTAGCTTTAGATGGGCAAGAGAGAATTCTCACCTCTTCCTTGAAGTTCAAGTCGTAGGTCTTGTCTGATCCATAGAACTCGGATGCAGCCACATCCATCCCGATGACAACCTGGAAAATTTGATCGGAAATCATTACTTCCGCAGGTTATATATCAGGTACAAGCACGATTACACAATTAAGGATAGAGAGACAGACCTTGCCAGTGTAGCCGGCCTTCTCAATGGCAGTCTTGAGCAATTCAAGACCCTCCATGTTCTCCTGAACGCGACGAAAGCAAATCACAATTAGGGGACATACAAAACAGGTAGGAAGCCGAAACATCAATCCTGTGGATAATAGTTATGGTTCAACCTGAATGTTTGGTGCAAAGCCACCTTCATCACCGACGTTTGTTGCATCCTGGCCATACTTCTTCTTAATCACAGACTGGGAGATTACATGGGAATAGGGAGATGATTAGGTTACAGAAAATGGAAATGCTATAGCATGCGTGTTAATCTGGGAACAGTCAAGAGATTTTTGGTAAAAGAAGAAAACAATTGACATGATTTAGGAACCACATCATTATGTTAAAACTCTGCTCTTTGCCACCAATTGTTGTAATATGAGAGCACCAAAAAACGTTATATTTTCAATTTATTCACCTTCAAGTTGTGGTAAACTTCCACACCCATTTTCATGGCTTCGCTGAAAGATGAAGCTCCAACAGGAAGAATCATGAACTCCTGCAAACATCAGTGTCATACAAGGAACGCTAAGGAAAAAAACCTCTGTATCACATATTAACAAAGAATTAAGGCCTTGCCTGCATAGCGAGCTTGTTTCCGGCATGGGATCCACCATTGATGACATTGAAGGCAGGAACTGGCAAGACCAACTTCGAGTTACCAGCAAGGTTAGCGATGTGCTGCATAAAAAAAAAACCATACAAAAAGGTTAAACGCATATTAAAATAAAAACCTGGCAACTTAAGTAAATCTGTTCTGTCGTTCATGGCTACGAGGAAAGACAAAACGGGCTGTGATTTTTTTACCTTGTAGAGAGGGATTCCTTCGACAACAGCTCCGGCTTTGCAGACAGCAAGAGACACAGCAAGGATAGCATTAGCTCCAAGCTGAAAATGAACACGCAAAGAAAACTGGTCAGAATCATATGCCTTCTAAAGGGTATATGGCATATGCAAAAAAAAAAAATCCTAAAGCACCTTCTGTTTGCACCAACCCCACTCATTCTGGGTTCCGTCAAGTTCGTGAACCATGAAGTTGTCAATAGCAGTTTGCTGAGTTGGGTCCTGCAAGAATCAACCAAGAAACAATTGCAAGGTCACTTACATGAAGGCCATATTCCCTTTTCTGCAATTATCAGTAAACTAAATTCAGAACAACGTTTAGAACAGCGCGAGTCAAAGAACTGTGGACTGACCTTGCCGATCAATGCAGGGCCGATGATTGTGTTAACATTGCCAACAGCCTACAGTCATCAACCAGGGGCAGCAAATAAGTACAAAAAAAATCACTCACAAAACATTTCCGTCGCCCAATAAACAGAGGGAAAGAAAAAGACACTATCACATAAAACCCTCACCTTAGAGACACCCTTTCCAAGGTAGTCAGAACCTCCATCCCTCAATTCAAGGGCCTCGTAGATTCCTATTGTACAAAATTCCCACCAAGAATGATTCATTTAACCACACAAATTCTTTATCAAGCCAAGACAGGCAAGATCATATAAGCTACGCCGAATTTACCCAAAAGATACATGAGTTTAGATGCTAAAATAGATCTAATCAGACGCAAAAAGTAACATACCAGTGGAAGCTCCACTTGGAACAGCAGCTGTGACCTTGGCACCGTTGGATAAGACAACATCCACCTAAAGATCACGTCCAACACCCATTAGACTTTTTTCTTTTTTCTGATCAATGAGTAACACCAAGAGAAACAAGAGATCGGAAAACAGAAAGAAACTCGTCTAAATCGTTAAATAAACTGAAGGAGAAGAACAACACTATGCTTATAGCCAAAACTAGGAGTATCTAAAGCAGATCCAACACAGAGAATATATTCTCCAAAACATAAGAGCAAAGTCCATCATCGAAAAGAAATTTTCGTTCAAAATTACGAAACCAACGACCAAAACGGGAATCAATCTTTATCGCAGCTTCTATCCACCGGAAACAAACGCCGATCATCATTCACAAATAAAAAGCATCCACCTACGGCTCACAGATCGTTTCAACAAACAAAACCACCACAGTAAACAATTGGCATTCAATACCCATCATATAGGCAGATCTAACACGAAAAAAAAAAACAGAAAACAATCGGAAAATAAGAAAGTAACCGGAAAGTAGGAAAAGTGACGGAAAGGGAGAAGAAACAACCTCGACGGTCGGATTTCCACGGCTGTCGAAGATCTGCCTAGCTTTGACAGCGGTAATGGTCGCCATAGACGAAGCTCGAGTAGATCTGGAGGGAGAAAGACGACGAGGGCGAAGAGTTCGAGGGTTTAGTTCAAACATTTCGCAGAGCTAAGGTTGTTATATAAAGGGGACCGGAAATGTTTGTAAGATTTCAGCCGTTGGATTAGAGGCCGTGAGATTCAATATCAGCCGTACGATCAAATTGCAGGTTTAGTTACAAAACGATGTGCTGCACGCGTAGAGGTTTCTGGCTCCTTGCCCAAGTAAAACAATTAATTGGAAAGTGGAAAATACCAAAAAAGAAAAGAAAAACGGAATCTTCCCTAATTCACCATTATAATTTTATTTGTAACAAAGCTAAATAAATATTCATTTTCATAAAAGGTACAAAAACTTCGATTCTTTAAATTTTCAATATAAAATTTTAACTATCTAAAATTTAAATAAAATAGAAAAATATCTATATATTATAATTTTTATTATTTTTCAACTAAATTTATATATTATAATAAAAATAACAATTTCATGTTATAATTATATCTGTCTACATTAGAATTAAATTAATGAATATAATAGTTTTAAGATGTCTTATAAATATTGAGATTTTATTTAGATTTTTTAATTGATAATTATAATGTAAATATATTTAAAATGTAATATATTTTTTAATTTAGTGTATTGATTTGCCATTTAAATATTATATTTTCTAATATTATATAATTATTTATTTATAATATAGTTTGTATGAAAATTTTGCGTTTATTTCTTTATTGGATCTGCATTTAATAATTGAATGTTTTAAAACGAACTTGTTGTTAATATGTATTCAATGAATATTTTTAAAAAAGTTAATATTCCCTCCATTAATTACTTTAGTTTCTTGATTTTTTAAATCAATTAATTATTATTTGTACCCATGATTTTTAAATCTCAACCGCAAAAAATCGTGAATGTTAGGGAGTGACACATGGCATCAAATCTGACGGCTTATGATATATTATATCGTTTTCGGCATATTCCTTAGGCATATTTATCATTAAATACTATATAATATATATATATATGCTGATTTTTTTGGTAAAGATATATATGCTAATTTTCGATATAATAATCCTTTTATTTGTCATAAATTTATTTTATTCTGATTTTGGATCTAATATCTACTTTTTTGTTATTAATTGCAGAGGCTGGCAATGAATGAAGACCACAATAGCATAATATTCTTCCTTTTTGGAAAATTTAAAACACAATTTAACTCACGTCATATTTCATAGATTCATAGCAATTTAACTAACATCACATGTCAAGATAATATATATATCAAACGTCTAAAAATATGGTTCCAATATAGAATATAAAGAACAAATTTACTATAACGAAAAGAAAATTTTATAAGATATAAAAGACATTAAAAACAACAAATATATGCAGAAATACGAGCAGAAAATTTAAAAACATAAATTTAATATACATATATATATATATGTATTCAAACTTATGCTTTCTAAAGTTCTGACTCTAAGCAAGGTATATATATTACTTAAATGGTTGAAATTATTTCAACCAATACAAAATGATATTAAATAATAATAAATATATTTTTTTTGCCTTCAACGTTTGCCCGCAGATTTATGTTGCCTCCAATTGGCAGTTGCCAATAAGCTTTTGATTAACCACATGTTGCATATTCGGTCGATGAAATTACATATCCAGCATTGTATATATAATCTCTGTTCCATTCAGAATCCGTCTCGAAAGCACAAAGGATTCAGAACCAGAAATTGACCAGGTTTGGTTTTCACTAAAAAAGATCCACTTGCAACGTTTTCAGACCAATCTAGATCCAAAGCATAAGGTAGATACCAAATCGGTTCGGAGTGATCAAACCAAACCCGGCTTCAAAAACCGGCCAAGGAAGCATAAACCGATCAAAGCCTAACAATAACTATTAACAAAACCAATGACCAATGCATATACCAAAACATTTTGAATCCAAGTTGGTCGAAAAGGGGGCAAAATTCTCGAGTGCAAGATATAAGTGAAATCGGGTAGCACAACAGAGTCGGGTATTCTAGCAAAAACGTTCTGAAATAGACAATATTACGTTGCAACTTACCGAACGAGTATAGAAAGAGGAAGAAGCTCAGGTAGGTTACAAATTCAGCGTTTGCCACCGCCGCCTCCCAGCTTGGGACCCTTAGGAGCACCACCCTTGGAGAGATTGCCCTTGGCTTGAGACTTCTGCTGCTTAGACATAACCTCGGCTTTCTTGGCCTTCTTCTCGTCCTTTGTCTTCTTGATCCTCTCCTTGATCTCACTGTATCATCACATTCATTCAATCAAAATTTCGCTTAGAAACGAAGTGACATTTTATGTTATGGCAATAATGGGTGGTTGGGGAAGAACACTAACCGGAGAGCGGCTTCTCTGGCTGCATCACGAACCTCGGGCTTCTCTGTTCTTTTCTTCTGAATGACCTCCAACGTAGCACCAACAATGGACCTCGAGTACGGCTTCTTGGTGGCCCGTCTCCTCTTCCTCACAGCCTCTTGGGCGATATCCTAAGTAGAGCATAAATTACAGCTCACAAATTAGGGTCACCATCATTGTGAATCAAATCACAAATTCTCAAAGCAGAAGTCTTTACTTTTTTGTGCTGCTTTCTGTACATGGCAGTCCATGTCAGTTTGGAAGGCTTCAACCGGTTGTGGAAGTAGCGTTTGCATTTGGAATTGGCAAACAAGAACACCTGACACAATAAAATTGTGACACCGAGATCAGTAAAAACACACGGAAGCAAGTCAAATGGAACACAACAAAGGACAAAACACCAAGAGATGCAACATTCTAATGAAATTCAAACAAACACAGCCCAGTTGATGGTTTACCTGAGAATCAGATCTGATGAACCTGATTCCCCTTCCAGGATAGATCTTGGCACCGCTGAAACGGCAAAGCTCCGTCCTGTATGCAGAAGATGGCCCAGAAATAAGATATAACTCTACATTCCCTTCTACAGGCCGAAAATGGCCCAGAGACCATATAATTGTCTTTGGAATGTCCCATCTTACATGGAGAACACTTCGAAAGGAAACAGTATCGACCTCGAAAAGCCCAACAAGACCAAAAGATGACCTATGATAACATTTTTTGCTTCCGCAGAGAGTTCATACGATGTTCATTGAAATCACAATTGTGACCAGAAGACCACGCATCACCCAATCATCCAATTTCAATGAGAATCCACAAGTTAAATGCATCGAAAATAATTTATACTGTACAAAAAAAACACATAAATTTCTACTGTACAAATCCCAGAAGAACGTAAAATCCCGGGAAGCCATGAAATCCAATCCAAAAGTAATTGGACAAAAGAAAATCTACATTTCGACGAAGTGCGATAGTTTTGATGGCCAAAATGCAAATCACTGCATAAATCGATACCTAATTTTGCAGAGAAAGAGACAGAGAGAAGAGAAATTGATTTATTACTTGAGAACCATGGCTGCGCCTTCACTTGCTCCGGCTCTTCCTGAAACTCTACCCGAAAACCCTAGCGGGAAGTGATGGATTATATAAGAGAGAGAAAACAAGAGGGCTCTGCATCGATGAGAAAACCAGGTCCTTCGAGTTTTACGGCCCATTATAAATATTCCACAGGCTCTAGGCCCATTAATAAAAGCCCAATAACTTCATCTCTATTTTATTGACTCTCAAGAGGCCCCTGAAGTATAGTAAAATCACGCAATTGCCATTTGATTTTTCTGAGCTTTGCATATATATGATTCAAATTGCTGTTTTATTGAATCTAATTAGTTGGTGTATATTAGGCATAAAAGTATGTCAATAATATCATTTTATAGTGATTTTGATATTAAAATATGGTCAACCGGGTGTTGACCAAGAATAGATGACCAATAACTTGGACTCCAAGCACAACCACTTGAGACAAAAAAAAAAAAAAAAGAATGATTTCAAACAAGATTCTTGATATTGGACAACTATGATTGTCCCCAAACAAAAAAAAATAACTGATTAATTTCAAACAAAAAAAAATGAAGAACAAACACTCCACTAAGATTTCTTCAGACATGTTCAAGCAACTATCACTGGCTGCTGCAAAATCCCAGGAATCCCATGAACTCATGGTTATGAATCATCTCTATGCTCCTCTCCACACCCACCACTCCTGTTTCAGACATTTCCAAACAACAAGTTTCAGAGATTTATCGAACCGGGTTGATGAAAAATGTTGAATTTCAGATCCTGAATCATGGGTTTTGGGCAGATTCTTGGATAGAAAGTAGAAAAGAAAAGAAAAGATCTGAACTTGATCATACCCATTATGAGAGCGCTGGCGAAAATGACGCCAGAGAGCACGAAAACGATGATCGAAGCTCTCCGCAAGATCGTGACGAGTTTTCTGATGAAGGATTGTCCCCAGAAGCCGGCCAGAATCGATACCGTGGTCAAGTATAAAGCTGCAGAGATATTGCAGAACAGGTTTCTCACTTTGTGAAAAAAAGAAATGAACATTGGTCTCTTCTGTAATGTAATGTGAATCAGAGAGAGAAGGAAAAGAGAGGAGAGATCTTAACCGTATGGCATTGGGAACCTCTTGAGGAGATAGAACTCAACCACTGACAGTGATGAAGAATACATCATCACAAATGTTGCTGTTGCACTTGCAACCTGCATATTTCATCCATGTACAAATCAGTGTATGTGTATGTGTGTATGTATGTATGTGTATGTGTGGGTGTGTGTATACCTGTGGGATGACACCGATCTCGAGAAGCAGAGGGCCGAGAACAAACCCGCCACCCGAGCCGAGGAGACCGCCTACGGTTCCTCCCACGATGCCACAGAAAGCACAGAAAGCGAGGTTCAGAGGCGTCCAATCTATCGAAGCTTCACAGATTGCTTCAGTGTTTCCGCTGCTGATCCTTCTCTCGTGCTCTCTGAACAACTTCACTGCTTCGATCCCGGTCATCCCTATTGCGATAGGGACCTGAGGAGAATACATACATACCAGAGAAGGGTTTTTGAGCCAATGAGCCTATTTGAAAGCAGAGAATACACAAGTCTTTTGGATCGAAAGATTTCATTTCGTCTAACCTGTAAGCAGACAAGAACCCAATACAATGTGCTGCAGGCTTTCGTTTCGTTCTGTCGAGATCGATGTAAGAAGGATCAAGACCCGGGAATCTCGGGAAAACGAGAAAATAAGTGAAGAATAAGAAGATGATTGGAAAGATTTTCGCTTGCCTTGATAACTTGGATAATCAAGAAAGCCAACCATGTAAGCACCAGAACCAGAAGCCCTTTCCACCTGAGGTTGGAGCATAAGATTTCCTGCAGCAGACAATGCCAAGAACTGTTTTGATTCTTTGTTCTTGTCTTAAAAAAAGAATTCACGGCTCGAGTTTCGGAATCATTCACATATATATGTACCAGTTTCGATTTCTCGTTCTTGGGGATAAGCGGCTCATACTCGGTATCGATCAAGACTGCAAGAACAGATATCGAATAGTTTAGTTTGAGATCAAACCCGATTTCTATCAGAAGGATTAAGTATCGGATTTTTTACGTTCTCCATGGGAATTAACCAGTGATACTTGTTGCTTCGCCATCTCGTTCTGCAAAAAAAGCCGAATGCTCGTTAAACGGTTAACGTTAACTCGCAAAAAAGAAAAAAGGGTACTGGAACTACATTCAAGATCGTTTCCTCCTTCCACATCTCGACCCCCTTGAAGAAGGATCTTGAAGAAGTCCCTGCTCAAACCACCGAAACCCGAAAAACCGGTCAAAACATGATCTGAAATGTTTCCACTTATCCGGAAAATCAAGAAATTCGGGTACCGAATCGCTAAAGTACCGATGAAAAGAACGATGATGAGGACCGTGATGAGCCAGTAAGGGAAAACGACGCTGAGAGAAACGCCGAGGGTGATTCCGAGCAGAAGCATCGGTTGAAAGAGAAGAGCGAGATCGTAGTCTAGGATCGGAACTTCTTTTGTGGGGTGAGGAACTCTTAGATTGTACCAAACAGATGAAATTGAAGCCCCCATTATCATACCTTCAAACCCGAAAACAGAGGAGTCAGAACAGAGAGAAAGAAACCTTTTTTTCTTGCAGCCGCGATTTCTCGGTTTCTTGTTTGACAAGCAAACGAAACGGGATCGAGCCCGGATAAGATAAAGAGGAGATGAGAGCGGGTTAAGCACATTTCGAGATGGCAGCTGCGGATTTGGTGTCGAACCCGATGATCAGAGTGAGCATCGGAACGAAAATGCCGCCTCCTCCGACGCCTCCGACCGTTCCACAAGCTGATCCTAGAAACCCTATCACTGTCGTCGCCACCAGCTTCCAACTCAACTCCAAATCCTACAATTTCAGTTTCAGATTAAGAAGCAGAACAAATGATCAAAACCCCAAGTTTTTCTTTCTTGTGTTCGAACCAGAGACAAGGTGATTCATCCCAATCTTCTTGTAACACTGTTTGGTACGAGGTTTACTTATAAAAATCAAATGTCTATACTCTTTATATATATATATATATATATATATATATATAAATTGAACTCAAACTAAAACTGTACTGAAAAATAAATAAATGAAAAAGTTAAAAACATTTATTTGAAAAATTCGGGTTCGTAGGCCCAACCGAGTCTGAAGTTCGACCCTATAACACTCGGGTTCGGGTCGGGTCAGACCAACTCGTTGGATTAGAGTTTTTTCATTTGAATCATATTTTTACCAATTGGTTTTTAGAAAATAGGGCTTCCGGATCGCTCAAATACCGGCGGTCTTAACCCGACCAAATCCGAAACCCGATTTGTACCCGATTTGAAAACCCGATTTTCAATTCAAGTCCAAATAAAATCATTTTCTGGACGGATTTGGGATCTCGGGTCAAAATTGATACCCTAAAAAATCCAACCTAAATCTGATACTACCCAAACCGAAATAACGGCCCCTGCTCTCAATTAACCAAACAGATTTAATAATTATTTTTTATTATTTAATAGTTTAATTGTTAATACTTAAGAGTTTGGTTTCTGTATTCCACGTAAAAACGGACACTGGTTGTTTTTGGGAGTGCCTAAGCGTCGTTTTAATTGAACGTATCGAAAATAAATAAATTAAATATAAGAAGAATCAGATTCGATATACTCTAAACATTCAAAAATCGATGAATTATTCATTCGTAAAAATCTAAAAATATATACATTAATTTTGTAAATCCGTCAACTCAGGCTGGATTCCACAAGAGAACTCCCGAAGTATTATTTACCCAAAATAATTATATGAAAACCATTGGATAATAATCCTGCGATTAACGATGATTAATAGTTAAAAAAACAACTAATGATTCTCGAAAGTGAGTTCCGTATCACAGAATATTCAGAGAACTCAGAAAGAACAGAAGAACATTGACGTAAACGAAGAAGACGATGCAAGTGTTATAATAATTTTATTTTTAAAAAAAAGATTTTTACCGGCCAAATTCTCTCGGAGTGAGAGAGAGGAGACAAGGAAGAGAGAAGAACTCTGGATCGTGTCTTGTCCGAATAATCGCTGACGTAAAACACCGAAACGACGGCGACTGAGAAACCCAGGAGTAGATACACCAGAAATCCTCCTGTATTTCTCCCCATTGTAATTCCCCCTCGTTTTTCTCAGAAACCCTAATTTATTTTTGGGGTCTAATCTCAGAACCCCAGAAAAAAAAAATATTTTTTTTCGTCGCTGGTGAACGGGCAGAGAAGCTCAGAGACCGACTTATAAAGCAGAGAGGAAGACGGAGGGAGCTGAGGGTGCAGGAAACTCTCGCGTGGAGACTTGGGTAGAGGATCTTTTCGTGGGTTTGTACACGTGGCCCAATCATATGACAGGGAAATTTTTAGAAAAATATATATATTTTCCGTGGTCTAGGCAAGATTTTGAAGTGTAATTTAGAAGGAAAAAAACAGATTTCTAGTTTTGAAAATGGAATTCTACGTAAGTATTATATTAATAATTATATTTTAAGAAACTAATACTGAAATATTAAAGATGTTACCTGAAATTGATCTTTTAGAACTATAAAAGCGTTTTACTAACCAATTATAAAAAGTATGTTTTACCAAAAAATTTATATAAAAAGTATGTAATTGTTTTATTTAATTGAAATGAAATAAATTGGAATAAAAAAAATTACCAAGATTTTCTACAAAAAGAACGCCATTAGAACAAAGAAAATCCGTATACAAACACCTAAATTATAACCAAATACAAATGAAAATTATTAAATTTTAATTAATATTTAATGTGAAATAAGGGGAAAAAATCTAGATAGGTTTGTTGGATGACAATTTTGGATTGAATACATTCTCACCCGATATAATTAATCAAGATCTAAGATATTTTTGTCTCTATCTAATTTCTATAATATTTATCAGCGTTTCATTAAAATTATAAGATTTTCGTATTAATTTTGCGATAACAAAAGTTATCGTATTATAGTAATATACGAAAAAGGAAAAAGTTTTATGTATTCGTCGGTTCGAATTTTCCACGTCACCATAAACTATAGGTGCGACTCTGTTTATCCAAAATTTGTAACGCATAATGTAAATGGATAGATTCGGTATTACAGTGGGCTTGGCTGATTGGTGGATTAACATGATGAAATCGCAGCCGTCTATTTCATGGAGCGGACCCCACTATAAACTTGAATGGTAGACCAGACCGCATGTGATGACTACAGAATTGAAAGAGATTTGGCGCCTCTCAAACGTCTCGTGGTGTTCGCAGTGATTTCGGATACGTATACGGATTGGTTTTTACTATTATTAATTAATTTATTATTATGGACACAAAAAGTTTTTTTTCTATAAATGTTACAAAATAAAAGTAATTCTTAATTTATTAATTATTTTTGTGTCTATAATATGAAAGATTAATAAAATATCAAATATAATATAAATTTAAAAAAATAAAAAAAAAACACAATGTAGAAGATAATAAAACATAAGAAACATAAATTCAAAAATTAAAAATATATCTCAAATACTAATCAAAACTAGAAAATAATTTGCAACACTGAGATTATTTATGACTATGATTGTGCTCACTTTAAATAAAAAATCTATAAGAGAATAAAAAAATTAATTGCAAAACTTAAAAAAAAATCTATACAAAGTCAGTTATTGTTTTTTTAATCGGATTAATTCGTTCAATCGTTCAAATTGGCTTCCATTGATGCGGATTAACTCGTAATCTCTAAACTTGCGTAGATTCAATCAGTAAGATCTATGTTTTATTCGGACAAAAAATAATATCAATCCGAATCTACATAATGATAGAATGAACTAAAAATCAGCTGACCTGATTAATTTTAAATTTTTTATAATATTTATAAATCTAAAAAATGGAATTCCTGGTTTTCAGTTGATAGTTTTCATCTTATTTTTCTTTTAAGTTCAAAAAATTGATTATCATTTTTTTTAATTTTAAAACTCCAAAATCACTATCCATTTTACAGTGGACAAAATATCAAAAAAATCGAAACTATCCGTTCGATTCGTATCCGGTTCTAAAATTCGGATATTTGAAATTTACAAATCGATCAGATATAAATATTTATTTAGATCGAAAACAGATATTGTGTAAATATTTATACGAATCGAATATAGATATTTGACATGTGCCACCCCTCTAATCCATTCGACCCTTTGTATTTTCATTTCATCTTATGTTACAACAATTTCTCCGATATTTTCATCTTATTGAATAAAAAAACACGAAATAGTTAACAAAAACAAAAACAGCAAAATCAAGGGAAAACGCATCATCTTGTCATTGTCACCGTCGAAACCTCACCCATTTACTCACACTAGACTTTTGTCCCAATATGATCCGACGGCTTCAGAGATTCCGATGTCTCCGGCCTTGCCGTGTTCACGTGCCTCACGTGCCATCCTCCAACAATGTCGGAGGGCATCGTCAAGTCGACGACGTCAACTTGCCTCTCTCGCCTTCTCTGCCGTCGTATCCAACGTGGATACTGCCACGTGGCCTTTTCCGACGAAAGCCTTCTTCGCGCGCTCGTATATTCCCTGCACCGCCTTCAGCACCGACCCTATCACGCCTGATGTCTGCTGCGGCGGCGGATGCTCCGTCGTCCTCTCCGTCACTCCTCCGCCGTGCCGGTTGACCTCGACGATGTCATCCGCCGCAGCCTCGATCCTCTCCAACTTCCCCGCCATCTCCGGCTGTTGTTGCTTTGACGCGATATCCTCTTGTTCTTCTCTTTTTTTTTTTTTGGGTATCACGAGAAACTGCGATATCTCTGACAAAAAACTTGACGAACTGGTTTTTGCAAAGTGTCTCGTGTTTCTGATATTCAAACTCACTTTTGTCTTTGTGTCCACTGTTCGAGGTGCTTCGTCACAGGCGAAATATGCCACGTGGCCCTCGAGGAGGTCTCCCGCCGCAGCCTCGATCCTCTCCAACTTCCCCGCCATCTCCGGCTGTTGTTGCTTTGACGCGATATCCTCTTGTTCTTCTCTTTTTTTTTTTTTGGGTATCACGAGAAACTGCGATATCTCTGACAAAAAACTTGACGAACTGGTTTTTGCAAAGTGTCTCGTGTTTCTGATATTCAAACTCACTTTTGTCTTTGTGTCCACTGTTCGAGGTGCTTCGTCACAGGCGAAATATGCCACGTGGATATAGGTGAAGGAAAGAAAGCCACGTATGATGTTTAATCTGACGCTAATGCATGCCCATTTCAATTAGTAAAAACATCAAAATAAATACTAGATATTGGAATTAAATCCGTATAAATTTTGAATATAATAATATCAAAGACGTCGGGCTTTAAGTTCTGATTCCGGTTTGATTTGGTTTTTGTTTCACCCTTATTGTTCTTTGTTTTAAGTCCCGGTTCAACCGAAATCGCAAACCGAACCGTAAAAACAGAATCTAATTAGTTTGAATATGATCATATTCGAATTATTCGATAACTGTTCCCGTTTTATCCACATGACAATTTTGTTTAGATCTATATAATCGAAATTCGATTCTATAGATTTTTGACTCGGATCGATCTCTTCAATTCCACTGTAAATTTATTTTTTTGTGCTTTATTATTTTAAAAAAAAATATCAGACTTAGATCGATCCAAGCCGAAAAACTTAGACTTAAAATTCAATGGTTATTTATTGGATATTTGGTTTAACATTATTCAGTAGAGTTCGGTTCAATTGTATATACCCTAAACCCAAAATTTTGCAAGTGATTTTGGATATTACTAAGTATTCACATTCTTTACTTAGTGGTAATCACATCTACTTGTTTTGTTGACGGATTAATGGCTTCTGTAGAAATTAATTATCATGATTAGGGTTATAGTTCTAAGAAACAACGTTTGCGAGGAAAAAGGCAAAGGCAAATACTATATAGTCGGTCCAAATTAAAATGGTGTGAAATTTGTATATAAGTTTGTTTGGTTTGGCAAATTCAGTATATAACCTGTTGGATTCGATTTAAAATTGCATAATTTGCTCCAAATTAGGTTTAGATGCTAACAGTGTGATCTACCAAAAATATAGGACTAAATGTTAACAATCCAAAAATGATGGGGCAAAATTCGAAACAATCCAAAAGTTTTAGCGTGGTCTTTAAGCGGACGACGAACACCGCCTCGTATTTAACTTTTAAAAACGACACGTAGTTCCTGTGTGGTATACGGTGCTAGCTAGATCTCTCTGCCAAGTCTCTCAGCAATGTCGGGAACAGAAGAAAAAGCCCCCGCCACCGTCGACTCGACGGCAGAGGTCGTCTCCGGCGAGAATTCGAAGGCGGAGAAAACCTCCGAAGATAAGGCAGAGCCGTCGCCTGCTCCGGCTCCGCCGGCGGAGAAGCAAAGATGGGGGGACGTGGAGGACGATGAGGAGGAGCAAGATGTGGTTTCCGAGAAGGTTGGTTCGTTGAGTATCCAGGAGAAAGAGAAAGGCAGTTCAGTGCTTGAGGAGCCCGAAGATTCTAACATTAGAGCGGTATGAAAGAGTTTTTTGTTTTTACCTGTTTTGACTGTCGATTCTGATTTCAATGAGGTTTCGGTATTGGTGTTAAGATCTCTTCATTTGTGTTAAGCCCGCCAACTGGGTTAGGTTTCTTGGATTACTCAAGCATCTGGCTTTTAAGATTTTTTTTTATCAATGAATCTGGGATATTTTAGGGTTGAATTACCAGAATTGTTTCTGTTCTACCCATAAATTACTTGCAGATAAGTAGGATTGGGATCTGGGTTAGGGTTTGTGGAATCAGGGAGGGAAAAATCTGATCTTTCATCATGTTCTGATAAAAAAATTACTTTGATAAGTGGGATTGAAGTCATTTATAGCATATTGGTGATTGGTTTCACATTTTCTTTAAGATGGGTATAAGTAATCTTTTGGTCTGATCTGGATTCTGCTCTTCCGTAGGTTACATCAGGCGATACACCATATACATCCGCGAGTAAATTTGAGGATTTGAACTTGTCGCCGGAATTGCTAAAGGGTTTATACGTAGAGATGAAGTTCCAGAAGCCAAGCAAGATTCAAGCAATAAGTCTCCCTATGATATTGACTCCCCCTCACAAGCATCTAGTTGCCCAAGCGCATAACGGCTCTGGTAAAACCACCTGCTTCGTTCTCGGTATGCTCAGCCGTGTCAATCCAAAGCTATCTGCTCCTCAAGCGCTCTGCATTTGTCCCACGAGAGAGTTAGCGATCCAGGTTAGTTTTGTTTCCTTTGTTTTGTCAGGGTAGATCTTCCAATTCCTGGTGCCATTCTCTTTATCATTGTATACGGGTGTGATATTGGTGTTCCCATCTAAATGAGTGGAGAGATCAGCATTACTTCCATTCAGAATATTGATTTGATAGTTGGGGACCTCGCAGTTGTTGATGTTTAAGAGTACAGTTGCTAGCTTTGCCAAAAAAAAAAAACATTCTCATGCTCAATGATTGAATGAATGACAGAATATGGAAGTTCTTCAGAAGATGGGGAAGTATACTGGGATAACATCTGAGTGTGCTGTACCGACGGAAAAGACAAAAGAAGTGTCGCTTGCAAAACGACCACCTGTTTCAGCGCATGTGGTGATCGGTACTCCTGGAACTATCAAAAAGTGGATGGCATACAAGAAACTGGGTGCAAGTTGTTTGAAGATCCTTGTATTTGACGAGGCTGACCACATGCTTGCTGCTGTATGTTCATTATTCTGTCCGTTTGGTTTGTCAGTTCTCAACTTGGTGTTTTTTCTCTCTTTCATGGTGAAGGAGAAGTGATTATGGTATTTTTTTTAATTGCAGGATGGTTTTCGGGATGATTCCTTGAAGATAATGAAGGATATCGAGAGAGTAAATCCCAATTGCCAGGTTTGTGAAACTAACTTTTGGTTCAAATATCCATACCAGCCTTGTGAATTTTGGTTGAATGGTATCTCTTGTGCTTCCGTTTTTCCGTCTTACAGGTCCTCTTATTTTCTGCAACGTTCAACGAGGTTGTCAAAGATTTCGTTGCGAGAACAGTCAAAGACCACAATCAACTGTTTGTAAAGAGAGAGGAGCTCTCTCTGGAATCCGTCAAGCAGTACAAAGTGACTTGCCCGGAGGAACAGGCGAAGATTCTCGTGATCAAGGATCAAATTATGGAACTCGGGGAAAATGTTGGGCAGACCATAGTTTTTGTGCGTCGTAAGGCAACAGCAGGCATGTTGCATCAAGCACTGGTTGATATGGGGTATGAAGTCACTACCATACACGGTAGTATGACCCAAGAAGATCGGGACAAAATAGTTAAGGAGTTCAAAGACGGTCTAACACAAGTTCTTATAGCAACTGATGTTCTTGCACGAGGTTTCGATCAACAGCAGGTGATATTCAATTATTTTCGTCTCCTTTATGATTCCTTCTACCCCTCTCTCTTCCTCTCTCTCTCTCTCTCCTACTTATGTAGCTGAGGTGCTTAAAGTTTCAGTAAAGGAAAAGACGAATGCCTTAAAAACGGTTTTTTCCCAATGCAGGTCAATTTGGTTATCAACTTTGATTTGCCGGTTAAATACAACAGTCCTATGGACCCTGATTACGAGGTGTACCTACACCGGGTTGGCAGAGCCGGGCGCTTTGGTCGTAAAGGTCGGTTTCGATTCTCCTGATCTATGTGTTTGCCCGGAAAATGTGCTTTTCTGGCCTCGGCCACTACCCGATCAGTAGTGTCATATTTCTTATACGGTGGTCTGGTCGATATATATGTGGCAGGAGCTGTATTCAACCTGCTGATAGATGATAGAGATAAAGTGGTGATGGAGAAGATAGAAAAGTACTTTGAAGCAGAAGTGAAAGAGGTAAAAAGAACTTGAAGATTTGAATACTGAGACTGATACGGGATTTGCTCAGATTGCTCCATTGTTTTGATGGAACTGTTTCTTTGCAGGTCAAGTCATGGAACTCAGAGGAAGAGTTCAAGGCGGCTCTCAAGGAGGCAGGACTCTTGAAGTGACAACAACTCTGGTTTCATTACTCTTGTCTGAAAATTTTTGAATGCCTTTGAAGAGGTTCTGATCTGGAGGGTTTTGCTTTTTTTCTTTGGGGGGATTCTTTCGTGATGCTGCTTCTGCTTTTGCCTTTGATGATTTTGTCGATGGCCCTTTGTGATCAAAGATTTGGTAATGTTAAATGGATTTATGCTTTGTATGCCAAATTGTGTGTTTGTTTTGTACAACTTATGTGATTTTCCCTCTCATCTTGTTTTTTTTTTAATAATCGGGTATTAGGGTTTTGTGATAAAAATTCCCCAAAATTCTAAATTTTTTATGATAAAAGTTACACGATACTTTTTATGGTAAAAATTCTAAAATTTATCCCCCGTTTGAAAATTCAAGGGTTATCTCTATGCCATCCAACCTCATTTAAATTCGATTTCGAAAATTGGATATTCCATATTGTCAAAACCCTAACACGAATATCCGATTTAGTCGGGTATTAAAAATTTGGGTAAACCGAATGGGCGAAGATGAGTGGACCATGAGAGCGCGTGGGTTACACGTTAGCATCGTCTTCTAAAAGTACATCTGATGTACTGTTTCGAGCTACGGACACGGCCGGAGCCTCAGCCCTCGGATCCAGGAGATCTTGTCGGCTCTACCGGTCAACGCTTTGACTTTCTGAATCAACACTTCCGAAGGGTTGATTGACACCGCGTCGTTTCTTATTTCTAGAGCGATTGATTGATTCTACGACACCGCGTCGTTTCTTATTTTTAGAGAGAAACAGCGTGCCGGTCAAAAGCGGTTAATGCGCAAGTAAACACACGATGACTGACCTCAATGCCTTCGAGTTTAAACACGCTAAAAAAACAATAATACAAAATAAAAGAGTTCTCGTATATTCAAATGTCAAGAGTTATATCGAATTTATTGATATTGGAAACAAATCTTGATTCTGAAAAATCTAAATTTTGCCAAAAACACTTATTCGCTCACATTCAACATACGAGATGTAATTACTATATTCCTCACCACCAACATACAATTTTTATTTATTTTCATGAACAATATGAATGAACTCGCTAATTATTTACCACAATAACCCAACAGTTGGTGGTCCACTGGTTGAGAGTTAATTAATTGATTCTACTAGTGACGAAGAGGAGACACAATTAATTGTGTGGTTAAAAACGAACTTCGGACCCAAGGAATTAAGTGAGCCGAAGACCTAGTGAAAATTATTTAAAAAAAATATTTCCCACAATAAATCTCTAACCTATCTTATGCACTTAAATTTTTTTTTTCATTTTCTCTCGATTTTCTTTCAAGTTTTGCAGACTCATTTCTCCATATATTTCGATGTGTTCAAATATGTAATTATGTTTTTTTTTCATTTCAAACTTTTAGTGTAAACTCATGTTCAAAGTCTTCTAATGCATGCCTCGTTCCCCTCGCGAACTCTTAGATGACTAACTACACCATGAAAAAAAAAACATTGATAACCAATATTTAAATGAAATATATATATATATATATATATATATATATGAACACATATATAACAAGTTAGAGAAATGTCATTTAAATGCATAATTTGCTAACAAAAAAGAGAGATTTTGTATAATAAGGTCGGGCAATGAAATCACCTATTATCTTTAGCCGACGTTCTTAAATATTACCACATATGCATTGGACCGAATGAAGGTTCATTATAATATTTGATGTCCGATCGAGAAATTTATTTCCAACAACCAAACTTCATTTCCGCGAGACCCACCGCCACCACCACGACAGTTGAAAACTAAGTTTAGCACATGAAATCGGTGAGTTTATGGGTCTTGTCACGTCCTTGTTGATCGAAATGAACATCAAATATAAAATATATAATCCCATCGACCTTGTACATATACAGATCCCCGTCATCATTTTCATTGGTGTCTATGATTGGATATTTTTTTTTTTATATTAATTGACTTTATACATAAAATTACTAAACTATATAATTCAAAGTTCTGACTTAAACCATATTAAGACTCGGCAAGGTCCACGTTTTTTTTATACGGAGTTGGCAAAGTCGTAATGCGCACTGATCAAATCTTTTAAGACCCTCAAATAAAAGTGAGAAATAATATATATATATATATATATATATATTTTTAAAAAAATTATATCTACGAAGAACCCTCTATATCTTATAATAAATAACGTATTCTACACATAAATACTAAACAGTTTTGCATATTGTACAAACATTTGTACAAACATGACGGTAAACATATGTACATTCAAATGTTGAACTGAATCTTCAATTTTTTTTTTTTGGTAATCGTAAATTTTCTATTTCTGTACAACTGCCCAAGTACATATCTGAAGAGAAAGAGCTGCTGTCTTCCTCGGTTTCGAGTTACAATCGACTTAAAAAACAACATTTCCAAAATAACTATTACAGCCTGTCAAATAATTGAAACCAGAGAACCATAGGAGAGCAGTCAGCACGTCACGATCAGCCGAGATCTTGCGCCTGGTGGATTGGAGGATCTCCTTATGCAGCACCTCCACCGGACGTGACACCGAGCGGTGGATCCTGCAATTCCTTTCACCCCATAGCATGTATATAGCCGCTTGGAATAAGAGTACCACCATAAACTTGAGCAGACGATGAGTGTTTAAGTTAGACAACCATAGTAGGCATTCATTGAAGGAATCCATTATTGGAAGAGCTAGAGTAGAATCCGCCAACAGAGAGGGCCATAGTGGAGCGGAATATGAGCATTTGAAGAATAAGTGATTTACCGATTCAACTTCCATATCGCAGAGAACACATGATGTGTGTGTGTTCAAGTCCCATTGCGCCATTCTGTCACGGTTCGGAAGCCGATTCCTAACTATCAGCCAAGTGATAAAAGCGTGTTTGGGAATCGAACGCGGGAACCAGACTGAATTTTTCCAGGGAACTGCCGGCGGTGGTGGACAAAGGAAGGACCATGTCTTTTTTGTCGAAAACGTTGGGGCAGCAACCTCGGAGCACGTTTCAGACCAGTAATATTGGTCAGCATGATTGGAGAGGCTGGGATGTGTGTGGCTCAGCAGTGCTTGGTGGATGGCGATGGTCGCATCGGAGCGTGCAGCAAATAGCTGCCAGCCCCCTGCCCTGCTCACGTCGGCCACCGAAGCTTGTAACGGAACCCCTAGAAGTCGGGGGCCTATAGGACCTGTAATCAAGATAAGAGGTCCCATCGGGAGCCAAGAATCATACCAGAAACTGCATTTTTCTCCATTTCTGACTTTGCATTTCATAAGTGACCGAGCTATTGGACGTAATCTAAGAAGCTTATGCCGAATGCATAACCCTTATTTATTTTTAACCATTACTTATCAATCTAATTTTTATTTTACAAACTATATAAAATTATAAATATATTAACGGGATTTTTTTACTTAGACCTTTATGATCCTTTGGGAGATATAGTTGGACCAAGACACGTTAAAATTTTGGATTATATATATGTATATTAACGGATTTTTTTTATAACCAGGATAGTTCTCCGGGCGTTCGGCTACATCCACCCTAAATCCGGGACCAACTTTTGTATATGGACTATTTTAGTCCAAAAATTACATCTCTCTTCACCAGTGGAGTCGAATCCATGATCTTGAGAACGATTTTGTCACGTATCAGCCATTGGGCCACCAACTGTTAATACAAATTGCACTTTATTAAATATTAGATATTTTCTAGTGTACATATAGTCTTCCCGTGTAAGTCCACGGTGAAAATGACACGATATATACACAGCTTAGAAAAAGTATATGTGAGGTAATAATGAAAACAACGAAACTATAACGGGAGAAATTTTTTATATATGTGAGAAATTATGAGATTATTGATATAAATAAATGGTAGGCTGACGTGGTGACCAAATACATTGCAACGAATTGAGAGGAAAAAGACGAAATGGCTGCTTAGTATATATATATATATGTGTGCGCGCGCGCGCGCGTGTGATTATATGCATTAGAGTCCGCTCTTGGATATTGAAAAATGATATACGATTAGGTTAAAAATTTCATCCCATTTAAAAAAACTAATCCTAATTAGGATTAGTTTCTCTAGAGTTTGTTTATGTGAACCTGACACCACTTTATTTTTTTTATCCTAAGTAAAATTTAAAAAAACATGCAATATGATGGTTAAAACTTGATATTAATTTTGATTGTGACCCATTTTTTATGATCTAATTTCTAAATTTTTTAATTTGGCATTATATCAAAAATACTCTTCCTTTACTATTTTGACTAAACACATATTCTTCTCCAATTGTGACCTTATGATCCATGTGATCAGAAATATAGTATGATCACATGTAGATCTTATTGATCATAACGTCAAATTTATAGTGATCACACTAATTCATTATATTCGTCTCATGCATATCTCATTAATTATTTGATAAAAACTTTATAAATTATATCAACATATGACCCGACTATATTTTTGGTCATATAGATCATAGGGTCACAGTTGGAGAAGAGTATATGTTAAAGCCGAAGAGTATTTTTGATAATGTACTTTTTAATTTGATATAAGATAATTAAGAGAAATATTTATAAGATATATTTAGATGCATGGTGTGGGTTTTAGGTTTACATAAATAAACTTTAATTCATGTTTTTAAGCTTTTTGGTGTGTAGAGTTTCAAAATTTCAGAATTGTCTAATTTTCACATGTTTTGTATTTTCTATAGTAAAGAGTTTTTGGTTTTTATTTTTCATATAAATCTGTTTATTTTTTCAATTTGTCTCTTTTGATTTCCTTACTTGTTTTAGTCGTTTACGCGCTATTATCGTGACGCGTGTATGTAACAAAATCAGCATCGTCGCCACAAACTCGAATAAAGTTTAGTGAATTATTATATTAAACTTTGGAAAATATCATCAATTAAAGAACGAGTCGTGATGTGTTTGGTTGGCAATCGTACTTCGATAATTAATATACGGACGGAAAAGGTTTATTATAAATAAATCATAAGAAAAGGTTTTCTTATTTATACCAATAATACGTATTAATATAGGACAAAATCTTTAATCAATTAATTAGCTGGCTAATTGTACGGGAATCTTCATTAGAAAACTAGGGTTGCATAAATATGGAAATTTGATCTAAATTAAATTTTATTTATTATTTTACACCGACGGTTTGGGAAAGTCTTACGTGGACCCAGCTTTGCGATCCTCGTGAAAATTTCTGAATCCTCTCTTCAAATAAATAAATAAATATATATATATATATATATATATATATATAATGGAAACATATTTATACTGTAATAAATTAATATGGAGACGCATGAATGTTTTTATCATATTAATGTTAATTACATTGGTCAACAGCTGGCATGCATGCATGCACGGATGATGCTAAATTTTTATTAATATTTGAAAGGTTAGCCCGATCACATGCTAATCCTGTTTGCTTAGTTTGATAGAGACAAAACTACGTAAATAAAATAAATAGAAAAAATTAGTAGGTATATATACATATATATATATATATATATATATTCTCGAATACACATAAATCTTAAATTATTTAGGGCAAGCTCGCCATAGCTCTTGGTGTAGGGGGAAGGACCAATTTGTTATAAATAATTATCATTTTGTTTGCTAATAATTATAAAATCTATACGAAGACATATATAAATGCATAAGATTACACGAACTATTATATAAACGATCTATTTAAATGTTCCAATATATATACATGTGTGCGTGTATATACGTGATAGACCTACGTGTAACAGAAAGATCCATTGGTTGGTCGGTCCAATATGTGACATAGCATGAAAACCTCAACTACGACGTACCCAAAGACTCTTTAGAAGTGAAAATATTTATATTGCAAACTATGCAAAAGTCAATATATATAAATTTCTATAAAATTGACCGAAATCCCCCAACCGAGAAGTTTCGCAGGTTGGATATGGCGAAGTAGTTTCGTCAAATGTTTAAATAAAATCAATCTTTTTTTTTATCTTTTATTATATACGAATATATTTAAAAAGCTTGAAAATTTAGCAAAAACATGTGTATTTGACTTGATTCACCAATTAATGCATATTTCAAGGAAAATGCATTTATCTAATAATATTGGAATGATCATATAAAATAATTATACTATAAATTGACCCAGATAGTTGCTCGTGAAAAATTATAAGCACCTATATATATATATATATATATGGTCGGGTGTAAAACATTATTATAGAAAATATCAGAAATATAATTTTAAAAACATATATACGTGCATACATACATATATATATATATCATCGTGATTATATGTGATGCCTGAAAGTTAGAATGTGCGACAGACTAGATTTGTAATCAACCAGATAAGCACGTGATCGACAATGTGCATTGAGGCCCAGGGATTTTTTTTTTTTTTTAAATTCTGTTATAAAAATAAGATAAAATAGATCGTTGAGGAGCCATTATTCCTCATAAAATATTTTAAAAATCTAAGCCTTTAATTTTAAAAACTAAAATTCCAATTGTACGAATATCATAAAAGAATATATGTAATAAGATGAATATTTCCATTTGAAAGACGAATATTTCCTTTTATGTAATGGCAGAATAAAATTTTATAACTTAATATATGTAACTGTAATAGAAGAAATCATATCAATATTCTGAAAAATTAAGCTGATTAGCACTTCAATAAATACGATATTGCAAACTTTCTTTTTTGGTTGCATACATACATACATACATACATCCGGCCGGCTATTTTCAACCCCATATAACTTCCAACTTCAAACCTCCAGAAACACGATATCTATTAATTACTTTGATATTTATTTCCTCCTTTGTTAAATTCAAATTAAAATGTTATTTTTTCTATTTAAATTTACATTAATTTTGTTTCTATCTAAATTTATTTCATGTAAGATTTATGTGTGTTTTTATCGCAATATAAATTACCTGCAAGAAAGTCAAAGAGAATTGAGTCAACCCGGAGCGTTGACTCACTGCATGTAAAGAAGACAAACGATAAACTGTAGACTTGCATGGCTCTCACGTTCTTATTTTTTTGGTAAAGAAGAAAACTGTACATATATATATATATATATATATATATATATATATATAAAGTTAATTCGATTGACTCAAAGGCTATTATACAAATTTCATAGACTAATACCTAATACACACTCGAACTATGTACTGTCTCATCTATCACGGATTCCCCTAGTTAGTAATAATAATAATAATAACAATAATTTACCAAATAATAATAATAATAATACAAATGAATTGATCTTTAGCCTATGCTAACATTATATATACTGTAGAGATAATTTTTATTACAATTAAAATATTACATTTAATCTGGTACATACATATCGTGCAAGTAAACTATCCAAATCAAATCATTTCAGATTGATCGAATATTTCTAATATTTGATATTTAAGTATGATATTGAAGGTTTTAAATCGAGATATTCGACCTATGCATTCGTATAACATATCTACAAGACCATCGTAAAACTACACACCTCCTTTTTAAAAAAAATAATGCTTAGATAATTAGAGATATATCGAAATTTGGAAATATATATATATATATGAAACCCTAAAGATGTTAAACCCTCCAATTATCTCCATATATAAAAGTAAAAAGAAGAGAGAGAGAAACTATTTTGAATTGACAAATTAACGTTTAGGCTTAGACATATATATTTAATTTTGTGCGACCCTACCTCGTGGTTTGATCGGTCATACACGAACATACACACAAATATACATATGGGCATATATATATAGCTATAATAAATCTATATATAAATATAAATATAAATATATATATATGATAAATCGCTTAAATGTCAACGGTTTTTCATTCGGACATGAATTAGGAACAAGTCAATTAATCCCTGCGAATTTTGACCCAAAAGAAAAAAACCAAAGCTAGTTTTCCTCGTAACAAACAACATTTCTCATAATTTCAACTCCTCTTCCATATTCTTTCACACGCGAATCATGTATAAATACATAGACGCCCTCCCACATGCATATATATATATACACACACCACCCAAAACCAAAATATCGATTCACTCTTTGTTCCTTAGATCTTTATTCATATCAATACAGAGATATTCACATCTCATTAAAGCATCGATCCATCGATCAGGTATATATATATATATATATGTGTGTGTGTATATATATTTTCGTATGCATCGATAAAATCGTTCTAATTTCCTACTTTCTCATCACAAATTCCTTATTTCTCCGCTAAAAATAACGTTATGTTCTTATAGATTGCTCGTGTGAATGCGTTTCTAATCATTTATACATAAAATGCAAACGATGCTGTATCGTTTATACATCGTTTTCTATATACGTTCAGAATGTCGCCATCAATGATACCGGAGGTTGAAGAAGAGAACAAGAAGTACCAGAAAGGAGTGAAACATCTTTGCGACAATGGCTTAACCAAAGTGCCCACAAAGTACATATTGCCCGAACCGGACCGACCCATCTTCCGAAAATCCGACAAGATCAAACCCAAAGAAAATCTAAAGCTCCCAGTCATAGATTTCGCTGAATTGCTCGGTCCGAACCGCCCACGAGTCCTACAAACCCTAGCCAATGCCTGCGAAACCTACGGGTTTTTCCAGGTTCGTCCTCCTCGTTAATATCTCGAAAACGATCTTTATTATATTGATTATCATTTTCTATGGATCGGCTATGAACGGTAATAACGAACGAGTGACATAATTTTTTTGCAGGTGGTGAATCATGGGATAGAAGGAGACATAAGCAAGAACATGATAGACGTGTGTAAGAGGTTCTTTGAGCTCCCGTACGTGGAGAGGTCGAAGTACATGTCGTCGGACATGTCGGCGCCGGTGCGGTACGGAACGAGTTTCAACCAGAACAAAGACAATGTCTTCTGTTGGAGAGACTTCCTGAAGCTCTTCTCTCATCCTTTGCCTGACTATCTTCCTCATTGGCCTTCTTCTCCTTCCGACTTCAGGTCCAAATCCGTCTAACTAATATTTTTTAAAATTTTATTTTTTTATTACAATTACGAGGATGAATTCTTTGAACCCATTATAGAAAGTTAAATGATTACCATGAGCTATAAATGTTAGTAACAATAAATGTGCGTATACGAATGGCGGCCTTAGTGGGTGGCTTAATCGCATAATTACAAATGGTGAAATAGAGAACAAAGTATTGAAGTAGGAAAATGAATATGTGAACGGAAATAAATATGATTCAAAATATTTAACATAATATTGTGTTCTTCCAAAATCTAGATTTTCCTCCAATCACATATTCATTTTCCTAATTCAATACAAAGAAAGGGTCAAAATTTTGTAACTCACTGCCGTATAGTACACTATATATATTATCATACTGTCACACGGTTTACGTACAGAAGAAAATAATAATAATTTACCTATTTAATCAAATACTATTTTACAACAAACATAATGTTAATAACTAATACAAAGACAATATATATTTTCAAACTATTAACAGAAAAAATGAAACAGGGGTTTGGCGGCTACCTACGCGAAAGAGACAAGACACTTGTTCCACATGATTGTGAGGGCAATCCTAGAGAGCCTCGACCGTACGGACGCCGGCTTCGCCGCCGGAGAGTCGCCGGAGAATTTATGCGGCGGAGGAGATGAGGCGGTGGAGGAGTTGGAAGAAGGGAGCCAGTTGGTGGTGGTGAATTGCTATCCGCCGTGTCCGGAGCCGGAGCTTACACTGGGGATGCCACCTCACTCCGACTACGGTTTCTTGACTCTCCTCCTCCAGGACGACGTCGAAGGCCTTCAGATTCTCTCCGGAGACGACTGGTTGACCGTCGATCCGATACCGGGATCTTTTGTCGTTAACGTCGGCGATCATCTCGAGGTATATATAAATATTTTTCAAATTATTTCGTTTTCCATATAATGGGTCTGAATCCCTGAATATGATATTGATTCTTGACCTATTATTGGCTATTGAAACGTGTTCGAAATCTTGATACTGTCGGGAATTCTCTTGGAGTGAAACAAATCACATCGATCACTTCCTAAAACTGCGTATTCAATATGTTCAGATTTTTAGATATATTAATGTTTTTGACAAATATATTTTTGTTCTTCATAAAAATGTGCAGATATTTAGCAACGGGAGGTACAAGAGCGTGCTGCATAGGGTTTTGGTGAATTCGTGTAAGCCTAGGATTTCGGTGGCTTCCCTTCACAGTTTTCCGACGAACTCGACGGTGAAGCCGTGGCCGAAGATCGTCGACGACCGCAGCAATCCGCCTCGCTATTTGGGCACCGACTTCACCACGTTCCTCCGTTACATCTCTTCCTGCGAACCCAAGTGGAAAAATTTCTTGGAATCGCGCAAAATTCACCACAAATTTTGAATACGGCGTTGAAGTCCGACCGAATATCGTAATAAATAAATAAATAAATAAAAGATTAAAAAAAATGGAACTTTTGGAATGGAAAATGAAGGTTTCCTCCTCAGGGTGAATACGAATCGAACTAAACAAGGGGGACACTTTGTAAAGATTTAAGATGTATGTATAAAAAGAAAAAAGATTTTCTTCGGTATAAAATTTTTCGTGTAATTTCGGGTTTATAAAATTCATTTTCGGTTGAAATGATTGCTTTCATAATTATAGATGTTGTATATATCTCCTCATTACATCACCACCAGCTTGTCAATTTCTTTTTCCTTTTTGTCATGCGGTTGTCTAGAAATCAGGCTCTAAAAAATAAAACCCAAAAATAAATTTAAAAAAAAACTCAGAAAGAAAATTATTCAAACCTCAATCTTTGTTACAATTTTTTTAGATTTTTAAAATATATTTTTCCCAAAAAAGGGCAAAATCTGGAACATCACAAAGCCTAAAGACAAAAAAAAAAAAAAAAGAGTTTCTGGAATCTACAAAATTTACATCAGTTGAAGTAAAGAAAGAGCTTTACCAACAACAACAACACAAAAAAGCCTACCCGTCAAATGAAATCAAATCAGAACAGAAAGAAGAACATTCCGAAATTGGGTAGAATCGAATCGAATCGTTATCATCAGACGTTTTCTTGATCAGTTTCGATCTTCATGTCGATGATTTGGTGGGAAGGAACCTGTTTTTGCAGCATTGAAGCTCCTTTGAATCTTACCATTTGGTAGCACATCTTCATGTACTTGCTTAGCTGAAAGAGCAATAGAACGGTTTTAAAAAAAAAAAAACAAAACAAAAGGATAATAATAATGCAGCGACCATGGATTTTCAGAGCATATAGTGGTATAAATCACCTGATCGGGAGCCATTTTCCGGAATCCGTATTTGTTCATCCAAAGAGGCTCTGCCTCTTCGGCCGCTGGAAGCACGATTTTCTCGATGTTCAGGAACGATAGAAGCTTCTCTATGCACGAGAATAGTAACTGGAAGTATCCCTACAATACAGTTTCCAATCAAACGCACCCACTTAAAGATGAGATTTAAGGTTTGCATTAGGGGTCGATCTGGCTCGTCCCCGAGACAGTTCGTCAAAAAAACGAAATTGATCCAAGCCAGCTCGCGAGCTAGGGGTGTCCAATTCGGTTAATTAACTGAATCGATCCAAACCGAATAATAAATAACCGTATCTGAACCAATCTAATATAAAACCCGGATGGTTCTGATTATAGCTCGTTTTACATCCCTATACTCTATGAACCTAAGTAACCAACAGTGGACTAGAGCAACTTAACAGAGGAAGAATAAGATCCAAGACAGTTCCAAATCAATCCTCACCTTCCCACGGCTATTCATGCTCGTAGCTACTAAAGGAAGCTCCGCGATATCTCTGCCAAAAACTCGAAGTAGCCCGGCTGACACAACGGATGAGCTGTAGAAATCAACGAAGTAAAAAACACGACCAATATTAACTATGCGGTTAATAATGAGAATAGAAACTGGCAAGAGAGATTTTCTTACTTAACCGTCAAAATAGCACAGCACATTCCCCCGTAATCTTGGCCTTGCATATTCTTCCTGCACAGATGGATTAGCTTCACTCGTTAGCGTCGAATGTATAAAGATTTGAGTTGCAGAGAGAGGAGATTATTATAGGAAATTTAGATCACTAGAACAATTCTCACCCATAAACCATTCTTGGAATGAGATTCCGCCCAGAAACTGGATCGACTATAGGATCGAAGCAATCCTGACAGAAAGAAATCACGGGAACTTAGGACAGGCATTAGATTTCAACTCGAGAATGGTAAAGAGGCAATTAACTGCTCAATATCACCAAAAGGCACTTACATGAAAGATTGCAAGAGCTTGAGAAAGTAATATACTACTTTCAGGAGATGCAACTTTGCCACTAATCAGTCTCCATCTAATATCAGCTTCTTCCATGGCTTCCACATCAGTTCTTTCTTGCTTCATCTTTATTATTCCAAAAGAAGAACAAGAAAGCTTCTCAGCTCCATTAAGAAGCAATTTTTGCAATGTGGAGTGGATCTTTGTGCAGTCCGTCGAGCAAAACCAATTTCCTTTAGGTAATTCCTGTCAGAAAATCATACTGTCCCATATAAGCCGGAAATTGTGCAATAGTGTCTCGTGTATATGCAGCACAGAACAAGATAAACTGGAGATCGAAGCATATGAGGCACCTTCAGATCTGCGATCTTCTGACTCCTCAAACATCCGATGTGGTACTCCTTTTCACACTATCGCAATGGAAAAAAAATAGCAACAATAATTATTTTATCTGTGAGTCGCGGTATTATTTAGTTTAAAACTCTAGCCTCGATTGAGAAAATACCTGATCACAAATAATAATTGTCCGAGGCCCAAATCCTGATCTGCTGAAATCAGAACCACTGTCGACAAAATCTTACATCAGCCAGGAATTGATTTCACACCGGCATTTTCATCATATTTATTTACTTAATATTTGGGTATAGATAAATGCCAAAACAGACTATAGACTGAACCTATTTTTAAACAACTCTTGACAAAGATCTAGTACCGAAACAAGCATATACCCATATACTCTTACAAGGATGTAGTATCTAAGGTTCGAATACATCAGAAGAGTAATTTAGACTCAAGTGAAAATGATTTACCTGCATAATACACATCCACTGGTTTCAGCTTCAATGTTCTTGACAACTCGAATGCATCGGTTAGCCACCTGATCAACAGGATCAACTCCTCCTATGAGTCGCCCAGCTGCAACAGAATTTATACTGTGCTCTCCATACGTTTCGCTCTCAGGTATTTTCTGGCAGTACTTGCAACACCATTTACCACGAGGAATACTTGGGAGAGAAATACAGTCTACATAAACCAAAACAGATTTGTTTAAACTTAAAACTACGTGGGAGTAATATAAAGACCCACTCGGGAGAATGAGAAGACTTAAATTTGGTTGGAAACTTGTATATAAATTTAGAGAGTATAAGACAGCCAACTGACCCTACTTTTTGGCAGATTTGACCCAGAAATCAGAAAATTTGACAAAACGCTAAAAAAGACGAAATATGTTCCTATTCTCTGCATAGCTTTTAGTAATCGCCACTATTACAAACACACATTTTGAATGAATTTTGTGTATATGACACATTATATACATGTAGCAAGGAATGTGCACATATCTAGAGAGGAAACAAGTACAGAGTAACCCCAAGGAAAAAAGAAAAACGTGCCGGAATACAAAAGTTTATAGCTTTACCTAAGTGGAAGGCTCTAGGGCAGCTATCACAGAGCAAAAGATCTCCGCCGTCAGCACAAATAACACACAAGTCATCATTGTCCTTAGCAGAATATTTCCGACCTTGGGAGAAAGTAATTGCCCATTCATGAAGAGACACACCGTTAGATGTATAAATGTATGCATAACTGCAACAAGGAGACAATTATCAGAGCGTCAGCATACATTAAATAGCATGGCTAAAGTATAAATACACACAGAATTTGTGAAGGGTTCGCACGGTTTTCTACGAGATGCCCAGCCTGCATGTACTTCAAACTGTGATGGGCTGACCTGCATTCAAAATATGAATAAATCTGAGATTTAAAAAAATAACTAGACACGATGAATTTTGCATAATATCACAAGTACCTCACACTTGCAGCAGTAACAGTATATTCCAGCGCCCTTTTTGTAGCCTTCAAGCAATTTCTATCCACAAGAATAATTGTCTTATGAGATTAAATCAGAGGGATTAAAATAAACCACACAGAGAATTAAGGTAAACAACCTGTCCACGGGCATAGTACGCCAGTTCAGTTCCATCTGGCAATCCACCACTCTGGAATACGAACTTATGTAAACGGTGGTCTCTGTATAAAATGAATAGTAATAAGTAAACTGAATTAATCAGGAAACGACCACAAAAACAAAAATCAAGGTTACCATATGTAAAAAATACCAACTTTTTTGTTATTTTACAATGACTGTTCTTCTCCGAAGATATAGACGGAGAGACACTTTTGAGAGCCTTGGGGATCACTGATCGTTGGGCCAACCTTAAAGAGTAGATACGGGGAAACCAGACCAAGGTCAGATCAAAACCATACACTCTTAGCACTGGCAAAGAAATCCAAAAGAAAAGATAAATCCAAAAGAAAAGATACTAACATCTTTTTAAATTTAGATGTGCACTTATTTTGTGAAGATATACTCGCAGAAGCACTCATATAAGCCTTCCCAACCAAAGCTTGGTATATCGCTCTGACAGAAAACCGTGATGATTGTCAGATTTGAGCACAAAAGAGAACCATATCCATTTTTTTTATAATATTCTATTTCTTCATGAATTCATGTAAATGATTGATAAAGATTTCAGATACATGATAAAGCAACAAAAATGGTACCAACTTTCTTGTAATCTTCCGAGGGTTATCGCCAAGCGGTGACCCGGACATGGGTTCCGATGACCTGAAAAGGCACCGCGCAGCACAGATTTGAAAATTACACTCATGCACCACTGCCAGAAAGTTCATTTTCAAATAGAACACGAGCTTCATGACTAAGAGTACACGAGAAAGAGTACCAACTTTCTCGTTATCTTCAATTGGCTCTCACTCGGAGTCGGAGAAGAGATGCACACTGGAGCACTTCTTGGAGTCCTTGTAGTAGTTTGATTGACCTGAGTTTTTGCCATCTCCGAGCATGAAGAACATAGAAGCCCTCTATGGCCAAAGCAGGATAAAGGGAAGACACCTATAACCATACACGTCAAATTCAGTTATATAAAAGATCTAAGAAATTAAATCCATTTGGAACAAATGAGTACATAATAGGAAAACAGAGCAACCTTTGCATTGTTTACAAGTGAACGATATTTCTTTAGATGCACCACTAACAGCCTCACAAATTGCTGCTTCAAGTTCATGCAGAGGCGTACTCCTACATATCTTCAGCACATCTAGCAGGCTTTTACCATTCTCAAAGCAAATATATTGTGATGCGCGTCTGTATTGTTTACAAGCATGAATCTCAAATTTGGAAGTTGGAATAACCTACAAAGAGAAGGTGTTTGTACCAGAGAAGTTTGGTAGAAATACTAGAGATCATGAAAATCAGTAGAGAAAAATATGCTTACTTTAGCCCAATTGCAGAGAGAACAAGAGCACAAGATTCCACCATCTTTGATAACGCCACGGAGACCAAATGCTTGAGACTGACACATAAACAGATCACTGCTTAGACAGAGAAGCAAATTTTAACTCCAGAGTCCAGACATGTTGATGCTGTATGGAACTAAGTGAATAATAAAACGAGCCACTGTAACAAAAAAGAATATGCATACCTTCACACTACCGATGTAAACTACCGATACACCATCAAGCAAACCAGTATCGAAAAGCTCCTTCACCGTCATTGGTCTCTTGAGTATTAAATTGGATTTTTTACTCGAACTCCCAGGAGGAGTTTGTTCATCTAAGTTCTCACTGACACAGTTCAGTTCTGCAGCATCCTCTACATCAACAGACTCCAAATTCTTTGCTTGCTTCACTCTCGATGCTGATCTCCTAAACTGCCTTGCATGTCTTAAAGCTACGTGATTTCTCCCTGTACTACCCTCATGCTCTTCCTCCTCTCTGCACATAGTAACTGATGAACTGTAACAGGGTTCATCCATTATCCTACTTTTATTCTCATGGCTCTCTACATCAAAATCTGTGATCCCGTCAGGCAAAACTTCTACAGGAATCTCTTCATCTAACATTTCAAGAAATTGGCTTTCGATTATAACATCAACTATGGAGCTCTCCTTAGCCTTAATTTCCAATTCGTTGGATGTTTCAACTGCCAAACCTTTAGTGCAGCTGCCAACATCAAGCTGTTCTTCAACTGCAGGATCCACAGAAAGGCTCTCAACCAATGGATTTTCAATATGGGAACTCATATTGACGTCAGTTTCAATCCTCAAACTGTTATGAGACATATCACACGACGAATTTGTGATGCCACTTGCCAGATTCGGCTCTTTGAGACGATTTAGCACTTTATTATCTGAAGTTCCAGCCAATTCACCATCCTGGGCGAGCTTAGTCTTCTTCGTTCTCGTATAAACAATGAAGCCATTGACTTGGGTAGTTTTGATTCTCTTACAACTAATCCTACTGCAATCACCAACATCCCCACATGAACTGGTCGACGCCTGCCTCTTGCTCGGAGATTCCCAGACCAAACCGAACCCAACCCCAGAAAGATTCCCGCCGGAAATCAATCCGGACACAGACTCTTCCTTCATTACGACCAAATCTGCAGCGCGGTAACTCGAGAGAAAATCTGGAAAGGGGAAACATGATAAAAAGGCAATCAAACCCATAGAAGAAACACCATTCAAAAGCAAACCAATTGTAAGAAACATGATTCAAGCAACAGATGAGATTAAAAGGATCGATTACATAGATAAAACCCTAACTAGACAAACTACGACATTGCAATAAAAGAAATTCGGAACAGCAGAAAAGGAATCGCACCTTGGAATAAGAGATGATTATGGACGAATCCAGGGAAGAACCGCAGGCATGAGATCAAACCCGACGAAGATGACTGAATTAGGGTTTAAGGAAGGGTTCATCCACGGATCTGAGGAAGACGAAACAAAATCTAGGAGGGGATTGGGGGTTTTTTCCCGGCCACTGGAAGGCTGATAGAGCGGTGCAGTAAATAACAGTCCACAGAGGCAGTGGCAGAATCTGTAAATAAATAATTTCAAAAGGGTAGTTTCAAACAACGAAAATATCGGGCCATTGTTTTGAGCCCACAAAGGCCCATTGTCATAGCGGCCCTCTCCGTTTTAAACTCCACCAGGAAACAAATAGTTTGGGCTTGTTTAAATGGTGGATAATGCAAGATAGGCCCATAAAAGGGAGGCCCAAAATTCCTTTTATAAAACGCATGCAATCGAAATTTTTTGAAAATTTTGAAAACTAATTTAGTGAAAAAATCAAACCAAAACCAAAATCTTTGTTATTTAGATTTACAAATTTTATAAAAATCAAAATAAATAAAATCTAAAAAAAATAATCATCATTCATAACCTAAATTAGGGTTTTCATTTTTTTTCTATAGTTGATTAATCTTACAAACTCATTCATGTAATTCTCTCCAGCCAATAAAAATATTTTTTCGGTTTTAAAAAAAATAGAATAAGCAGATAAATCAAAATAATTTTTTTTTTTTTTAAAAAAAAGGTAAGAATGAGTGTACAAGGTTAATTGGAAAACACAATTTGGATTCCTATGATAGAGACGTGACTTATGAGCCTCACGTACATAAAGATAGACTCGTGATTTTTCATTTCTTGTCACTTCATACGTGACATTTTGCGAAGAAAGAATAGTCAAAGTTCTTCCTCTTTACGTGCAATTTTCATAAACTTTTCTATTATATATTAATATATATATATATATATATCATAATATATATGGAACCATACAAAATAATTTTTTCCTCTATTCAACGGGTAAAGAAATGAGTTAAACCCCGTTTCCAACGTAGGTTTGAATTTCTATTTGAAAAATGATATTTACATAAAATTTTTCGATCTTTTAAAATATATAATTAGACAAAAAAAATCTAATAAATTTTCAAATTATAAAATAAAATCTTTTTCTTTTTCATACATTATCCATAAGTTGCGATGAACAGGGCCGTCTCAACTTTTTTGGAGGCTCCGTACATTATACAAAATTATATCGATAAAAATTATAAATTTATATAATAAAAATAATATTATTAAAAATATTTAATAAAAATATATAAATTAATATAATAAAAAATTATTAATAAAATTAATAATGATTTTAAAAATCATTAAGTTTTATAATAAAAATTATTTAAATATAATCAATAAATTTTGTAACGTTTTTCTTTATTAATGATAAGAATAATATTTTTTTTTTTAAAATCCATAAATTTAGGTTTTTTAAAATAAATACAATTCATTTTCAATTTTTAAATAATTTTTTAATTATTATTGATATATTTCAACAATTATAAAATCAATTTAATATTAAATTTGAACTAATAAAAATTTATATTATAAATAATTTATATAATATCATATTTATTTGTATAATAATATAATATATAATAATTATATCAAAAAATTGATTGGAGTAATGATTTTTAAAATGGAATCCATTTGATGTGGCCCCACCTTCCGTAGGCATGTTCGGAGAGTATCTCCTTTCTTTCTTCGATCGGATTCAATTAATGTTAAATTAAAATGATATTTTCTTCAAATTTATATTTATTATTTCAATAATATATAATTAATATTAATAAATAGCTTTAAAAATAGGACTCCAAATTTATGGGGCTCTGACGGTCCTTGCGATGAATAATGTAAATTCTCTATATTCTCTAATAATATATATAGTCCGATTGAATATATATATATTTATATATATATATGCGCGCCAAAGTGGCATCCTTGCACCAAATATTCATAGTTGATGAAGCTATTGATAGATACTATTTGAGTTCGAACGGATTATCCTTAGGTGCTCATTCATGATTCCATTTTATAAATTGGACGTGTGCCGATATAATATTCCTATGGATAGTATACCACATAACATTTACAAAAATAAAAGGAATTATTGCAAGAGAACGTTCAATAATTATTTCTAATGACAAAAATAATATGATTAAATATCATTCCCGTAGAAAAGTATTTCAAGTATTTATTAACAATAATAGAAAACAAGTGTTTACATTAATTCAATTAGGTTTTAACCTTAATAATTAAATAGAAATAGAAATAATATCATTTCCATTTAAATTAAATGTTATTCTCCATGTTTACTATCTCTCATGTTCAAACTTTATCATTCGAAAATTTGTATAAAATCATTTATTTTTAGTCTCACACGAAAATTTTATGTTTCTTTCATTTCAAAAAATATATCTTATTTCGATTATCCTCTATGTTTATTTAAATGAAAAACTACATATATGAAAAAACAAAAGGAATTTGGTCAAAAATATTCTAAAGACAGCTTATTCACTCATTTTGAATATATATATATATATATATATATATATATATATATTCCAAAGGTACAAGATACCTAGGAGAGCATAATGGAACATGCACTAGACCAATTTGGTCCTTCCAAACTGTAGGAATGGATCTGTTGAGTCGGTCTCGAGACGTCATGTAGTTTATGCCTTCATCGATCAAACGACAAGACGTTTCCAATTCAAAACAGAGCACACATTTTCATGTGCGCGTATCATGGGATTGCTGCGAGACTTGGGCATATAAACCAAACAATTAGAATTGTCCTGTTTCGGTCATCGAATTATTTCTTTATTCCTTATCCATGTAAATGTCAAAAAATATAACATTTAAATATATAATATATTTTCATAATATTATCCGGTTCTTTGATTGTTTGGTCCTTAATGTTAAATATTCGAATGGACCCTAAATTCTATTTTTTAAACAAAACAAGGCCTAGTTTGTTATTGATGGTTTAGTTTTGTTAATGTATTTTTTTTCAAAAATTATAAATTCAACCATATAATTGGAGTTGTTTGATTTTTTTCCCAAAAATTATAGATTTGAACCGTATATCATAAGGGTTTGTGTGTAAATAAAAGATATCATTACAAAAAAAAACGTTTTGTTTTATAACCAAAAACTATATAAACTAATTTGGTTTTGCATTTGAGTTAGTTTTTATTGGAGGCATTTGTTAGAAAATATAGGAAATTTACATATTCTAAAAAATAAACATAACAATATCTAAGATTTATTATTAATTCAAATATAAAACATGTAAATGATCTAAGAATATAAATATTGGATTCACATTCCAATTGTTGTATTGTACCCTCGCGGGGGAACACATAAGGAAAAATTTCTTATATTCTTTTATTCTTTTCACTTTTTCAACATGGATTTTTTGAAATGGAATATTCGGGTATGAGTTCATTGTTATTTTTTTTTATAATCATGATAGTTTTTCGAACTTTTGACCCGACTATATCCAGATTTAGAACCAACCTATAGACCATTTTGGTCTAGAAATTACATCTCTCTCTACCAACGGAATCAAATTCAAGACCTTGAATTCATCGTTGGAAACATGAAGTCATTATGTTCATAAATAATAGTCATTTCTTTCAAAGAACAAAGCTTATAAATAAATTAAAAATCATCCTAATTATGTTCAAGTTATTTTGGTACAATCGTGGAGCGTGAGAAAATATCGAAATTACCTGAAATTCTAAAAAAAATACAACTTATAACTAATGGAAATTAAACGTATTAGCTTCACTTGTCTGAAAATAATAATGGAATCCGAAAAAAAATTTCATGCATTGATTACGAGCACTGTTGCGTGTGAATACATCATTTTACAGATAATCGTATGGAGTCTAAGTGTCTTGGGTTAAAAAAATAAGACAATTTTAAGAATTTTAAATAAATGAAAAATATTTTAGAATAAAAAAAAAATTGCATAGATACTATGATATATATATAGTTTGATAGTATTATTATTATTATGTTTACACATTGTTGTGTGTATATAAATTTCGTTTGTAGGTTCTTAGCATTCTCCGAATTAAACTGTAACATAGTTTCTTGTTTGTCGATTACCTCCATATAATAAAGAATTTGGATATTAATTTCGTGCGGGTTTTTCTTTTCAAGAGGCCACATTATATTGCAACAAATATCATAAAATGACAAACGTTTCATATTTCCAACTTCTTTTTCACTGGTAATATATATATATATATATATATATATATATAGTTTTTTCAAAATACATATGGAATGTAAAAATACGTTTTTCGAGTTGTTTTTTATTTTATTTCTAGGACAACTCACTGAATCAATTACTGGACTGAACCCTGCTGCATGATGTCTTGTATGAGCAGTGTGATGTTAGAATGGGAAGAGCCTCCTTCTTCCACGGCCTTGTTGGCTAACTCTCCAAGCTCTCTGGCTCTTCTCCTTCTCTCATTTGCCTCATCACTTTCACCCATTAGCTCCTCCACTGCACTTTTGATCCCATCTTTGTCGACCAACACCCCTATCTTCTCCTCTTCATCCCATTTCATAGGCACTTCCACGCCCGATCTCACCCCGGTTTTTAGGATCCCGACGACTAATTTCTCGTTGCAGAATTGGTCCCCGAAAAGGGGCCAAGTCAGCAGCGGAATCCCCGCGGTGATCCCTTCGAGAGTAGAGTTCCATCCGCAATGCGTCAAGAACCCTCCGACCGAAGGGTGTGAAAGGATAAGCACTTGAGGCGCCCATCCTTTGATGAGAAGCCCTCTTTCCTCGACTCTTCCTTCAAACCCGCTTTCCGAAATCCATTTCTGTAACTCGATGTACTTCTCCCCACCTCTTATCACCCAAATGAAGGATCTTCCGGATTCTTCAAGGCCTAGCCCGAGCTCTTTGAGCTGAGCCAGCGGTAGGTTGCAGAGACTCCCAAGACAAACGTAGAGTACTGAACCGGGTTCTCGAGAATCAAGCCATTTGAGACATTTTTCTTGATCAATGGCCGCTTCGTTTCCTCTCTCGGCTTTGTCTAACCCCACCTCGTTGCATAAGGAGACAGGCCCGATGGTCCATACTTTACCCGCCCTCGCCTTCTTGTACTCCCTCACGTAGGCAGGCTCGAGTTCTTGGAATGTGTTCACGATCACACCGTATGACTTGTTATCCGCTTCTAGCAGCTCGTCCAAGAAATCTTTCCAATCACCAAGAGCATAAGTGACCATTGGAAGTTGAGGCTTTGTAAATTCGACCCTGTCGGGAAAGTCCGGAACCGTGAAGTACTCCTTCTCGGACTCTATTGTTTCCAAGATCCCGGATTGACGTATGGCACACATGACGAGGAGGCAAAAGCTTCCCATGCCATGGAAGACGATCTTTGGAATCTTGAACTTCTTGGCAAGGTTACTGGTGTATGTCAAACACATATCCCCAATTATGCAGCTTGGTCGAGGATTCATCTCTTCCATGAGTTTCTCAACGGGTTCTTCGAGCAAGTTAACCGCTTTAAAAAACGCCATAGATGCTCCCACCGAATCCAGCAAGTCCATATTCTCGTGCCCTTCGGGCAAACCCGCTTCTTGGTAAGGGAACTTCAACTGCACTAGGTTTATCGGCAGCCCTGATTGGATGGCTCGGGTAATGACATTCTTGAACCGGGCTGCGTTGTGAGGTGTCGTGACAATGGTTATGATCACACCGCGCTGAGCCAAGAGCCTTGCGATATCAACCATCGGGATCATATGGCCTTGAGCCATGAAAGGGAAGAGAACAAAGTGAAGAGGAGGCTGAGCCATGGTGGTTTTATCGGCCTCTCGAGTATAGCTAAGAAGCTTGAATATGGCAAGCTCGAGCTCCGTAACTTCTCCCCAAGTTTACCCTTTTCTCTAAGTGAATGTGAGGCTGCAAATATATAGGCACATGGAAGAAAAGTGAAGAGCACACATCTTGAAGGGCACGGCTAAGGCTAAGGCTAAGGCTGAGTATGTGAGGTAAGAGATTGCATAAGCAAATTGGCTTTATTCGGTATACAATAAGGTCCACAACAGATTACTACAAGACATTTAATGCATGGGCCAATAGTTACCTGTCCTCTTGTGACTCTCTCCCCTGCATCATTTCCCTGTTGCTTGGCCGAAAAACAAATGTGCAATATATTGTTAGAACTAAATCAAACTGAAATGGAAAATAAAAATAAAAATAAAAATAAAAAAGACACTAGACGACAGGCCCGAAAATCCGCAAAATCAAAATTGGATTCTTCAGACAACTACATCAACTACACGCCTAACTCCTAAGATTAGCAAAGCAGATCAAACCTAGAACTCTCTGGTACAACAGACTCAATCCACAAAATACACAAGAAGAACCAATCCAGTGATCCTTTTTGTGATACACAATACAAGACCTTCAAGTTTAAGTCACAAAAATATATGCGCTATGCAAGAAAACGAATGATGATGTAACTTGCAACGATCTCACATGGAACACTGAATGTACATATATGGTTTAACTCGAACAACGTGTCTAAATGCTATTCACAAAGGTACTTCACTGATGATCGTTTTGTAGACTCATTACCGACTCGGGAACAGTTGCTTTTCTACCTGAATCGGTCCTATGAAGTCGAATGTTTTCTCCATGGCATTGATTTGGTTGATTTTAGTAACAACTCGAGGGCCAACGAGTATGGTGCTCTTACAACTACGGCCGAGGGCCGGCTCATCTTGCTAACCAGCACACCGAACACCTGAACAAAAAGGTTAAGACTTCATGATCAAGTGTCTCTCCTAAAGAATAAAATTAGAGTTCGGTGAAAAAACAATTCATCCCGAAAATGGCATGTGGCTAGTTGAGAGAGATTATGTTTTGATCCTCTGAAAGTGACAACATGGTGAAGGCACCCTATCCATCAAGAACGGATGCATGAACTAAAATTTTACTGCAATAAGAAACAACTATGATAGACTGGGAGAAGGATAATCGTTTACCGGACAAGCCTGTCTAACACAAGGGTCATTATCGTGAAGGTGAACTACCAAGCGGGCCGGGATGGCATGTACACGGCATTACACATTGCCATCCAATGAACGCAAGTGTATGGCTTTTGCACTATTGTGGTCACATCGATTTAAATGAAAATAAAGAGACAGCGGATTAAGAACACAAAAGCCTTTGACCCTTTTATGCATTAGCCTCTCGTGATTTCAAAAACAAGAACAAGGAAATAGTGTTACCTGCCGACAAATGCCTCCCGATGTTCTCCAACAGAGCATAGTTACTTAATGCTCCAAAAGCTGCAAAAGGCATTGTCTGACATCTTAGAGTTCATGCATAGCTGTAAAAAACTTGTAACAGAAAATAGCAAAACTCTTTTTAAGTCCTGCGATAAGTCAAATGTTGATCTCACAACACAAACAAATGTATCCGAGAGAGGTAGTGATCTGACGAATCACTTAAAATTTTCTTTTATGCTTTTCACTATTGTCCTAAAAAGCTTTAATTTTCATTCTTCGATGACTTTGTAACCTTTCAGTTATCTGTACCCAAAATTGGATAACACCTGAAGATTACGAAACCGGAACAGATAAATTCATCAGCAAACATTCGAACGAGAAGCATGTGGATTATGATTTCTTCCACACAGAACACATACGTAGATACCCTCTTAGCAATGTCTCGGAAGCAAAAGGCGAAGAAATCAGGAGAGAAACGAGATAAAACAGCATTACCCACCGACCAAGGAAACAAATCATGAATTACCATTTACCTCAAAACAACTCCTTCAAATCTTCAATTTTGTTTTAATCCAGCTTTGCTCTCTAATTCTATCCATAAGTGCAAACCAACCATTTATACAAATCTCTGATCATTTAAAAACTGCAACTTTTTTTTTTTATTTCCCTCCACTTTCCAATGCTATACACCATTGCGAATACCCAAGTAAACAAAGCTCTGCAAGAGATGTTCAGACTTGAAAACGCACCTTGGAGGGTATAATTTCAGCTGCGGCAATCTCAGAAAGATTTGCCATGAAGAGGTAGATCGAGGTCCCTTCTCTAATGGACGAAAACTGAATATGCCCAATGTTACCAAATTGCCGTCACATCAAGCAAAAATGAACTAAGTCACCAACTATTGAACAAAAAACACCAAAACAGAAGAAACAAATAGGCATAGCTTCATCAATCGAGAACCTGAATTTCAGTACTCTCACCTACATGCAAGTAGACAAAGTATACACATCGTATGTATAACGGAGTGGAGGAGGCAATTTCCTTCAGAGAAGCCATGGAAGCTTCTCTGAAGGAATCATTCGCCAGTGACATTACCGACACCTGAACGACCTCCGCAAACGTAACGAACCCGAGAAATGGCCAAATTCAAAATTCAAATCGGAATCACGAACAAGCGAAGGAAAATCCAAAAATCAAATTCAAAGCTACAGCTGCCAAAACTCAATTCACCTCTCCAGTCGTCCAAACCTTCATCACCATTTCCGCAACCATTGTAGTTCATAGAGAATTCCCGGAAAATCCCGACATTTCACCGATCAACACAAAAACACCTGAAATCTCTCGAGAAAGAAAACCGAAAATTCAAAGAACTCTATACCTGGAGCGGGGATCGAGCTTCATTGAAATGGACTTTGTTTGGGCTTTGTGGGCTCATCAAAACTGGGCTTGGGCCGATCATAGTTTATTCATTGAAACGGAACCTCTGTCGTTTTGCATTTGTCCGTCTTTTTCTTTTCTTTTCTAATTTCGTTGATTTAAATCAAAATTATAGATCTATGTTTTTTATAAAGTAATTTGTATTCACGGCTTTAGATATTAAAATATATCAAATAAATTGGAGTATGAAATACTAAATAAAATTGATTCGATTTGAATTGGAAATATATTTTTGCACAATAAAATAAGATGGTTTAGATTCATTTTGCATTTATTTGTAACTTTTGTGGAATTATCGATCTTTCATTTTTGTTCATTCTATTATTGATCAATTCTACCACTCAATTTTTTTAGCTATGTTGCTTGATGTAAATGAATCAAATCAAATTTTTGTTTCGTTATAATTTTTATAGTTATAATCCAGCAGAATCATTGTAAAACCTAATCGATTTAAATCATGTAATTATTTGGTTATATATATATATATATATATATATTTTAGAAACTATATAACAAAAATGAAACCCGAAAATTACTGATGTCTATTTGTAAGCAAAATATTGGGATTTATGAAGGAAGAATATGAAATCGGTATAAATGCGACCAAAACGGATTTCATATTAAGGAGGCACCGCCCGAACATAAACAAAATAATCTTCCAACATTTTCATACATAAAACTTTATAGAAGAAGGTGGTCTCGTAGATGACGTGGCGGATGCCTATTGCAGGATAATGTTTGGTTTGGGTGACAGCTGGGTTCATCACCGCCCTCTTTTGACCAATCACAATCGTCCCTGGACCCCGCCTTTTCCTTTCACCCTTACCTCATTATTTCCATTTTTCTCATTTTCATTATTTTTTTTCCACATATTTCATGAAAAAAAGGTGGAAATGTTTCCGTTACGAATTTAATTTGGAATAGAAATGTCTATATAATTTGTTATTGTAGGAATATCTGGAGAACAGTAATAAATATGTATTTTTTATGTTTATTTTTTTTCGTTTTCGTGTCTATCTATTTTCATTCGTATGATGTCGTGAAGATATTGGTACAAAAGCAGTTGCATGACCTCTGTATAGAGATATACAGATAAATGCGTATCATGCGATATTACAATGTAAACTGGTATTTTTGGAACATCGTATCTTCATGTCACTGTTATAAAAAGATTATGGACGGTCCACCAATAACCAATCATATGGAAATATTTAAATATTTTAGGTTACATGGGCGGTCGAAATGGATGAAGACAGCTTCTCAAACATTGCCCTCGTCATCATTGATATATTTCTTTTATAATATATAATTGTTACCTAAACAAATTATTTTTGGAATTCATAGTGTTGAGATAGTCTATGTAACCGTAATTAAATTACGAATCTTCCTTCCCATCTGCAGAATCAAACTGACTACCTTGAACATCTAATTATCGTTTTATGATCCGTTCATCTCAAACGTCTATAGCTCAACCACCACAAGATGGGTTATAAATATCATATAGTTTTGTAGTATTTCCATGCATTGCAATGATATAACGAGCCACTGTTTAATATAAACTATTATCACAAAAAAAAAAAAAAAATACGCCAAGCCCTTTTTTACGTGATGCATCATTATGAAAATGCATTAATATTTATTTAGTGGTCTATAAACGAAGATTAATATAAAAATTAGTTATCCTTGCTGATTATTTTGGAGCGCATAATTGCATAAATCCAAAACTATACCAACCACTGCCTCACAAAATCGATATATATATGTGTGTGTATATATATGTGTGGAGAGAGAGAGAAAAGAGGGATGTATTATTATTAAACTCTTTCATAACTTAGCACAAATAAACGATTGGGTAGAGGGATGTATTTTTTAGCACAAATAAACCCTTTGGAAAGGTTGATAATAATAACTAAAATTTTAGACTGGCTTATATATTTAATGATAAAATAAAATTCCTAGTTATATATAATTGACATCACTTTTAAAAATAAGCAATTTAAAGGAAAAAAAAAAAGAAATGGAAAACGAAATTAATTCCCCCAATCATTAGTCTCCTCCAATTAAAAAAAAAAAACAGAAAAATAATAAATAATCACATGTAAATATGTAATATGTCCCTAATTCACTCAGTAACCTCCCCAACCGGTAACCGGTTACCAATCATACCTCGCCACCTCAGATTATAAGTACGACCACCAAGTGAAAACATCCTCATCTCTCTCTCATCCCAATCAATCTCAGCCGTTGGATCCCCGACCAATTATCCGACAATGCCGATCAGAAACATCGCCGTGGGCCGCCGTGAGGAGGCGACTCACCCCGACGCCCTGAAGGTCGACAGTTCTGAGTTCATATGCACGTTGATCTTCGTCTTCGCCGGCTCTGGTTCAGGCATGGCCTTCAACAAGCTCACCGGCGGCGGAGCCACCACTCCCTCCGGCATCATATCCGCCGCACTCGCCCACGGATTCGGCCTATTCGTGGCGGTCTCCGTCGGCGCCAATATCTCCGGCGGCCACGTCAATCCCGCCGTCACTTTCGGTGCCTTCGTCGGCGGCAACATCACCCTCCTCCGCGGTATCCTCTACTGGTGGCTAGCCTCCTCCTCAAGTTCGCCACCGGCGGCCTGGTAAGTTAAATTACCATTTTACCCTTTTATTCTCCGGCGAGAGATGCTGTTTCCCGACGTGGAAATGCATGCATGGCTCTACGTACGTACCGGTTGCCTTTAGAATCATGGAAAGACTCGTGGTTTCTCCTCAAAATTACCCTTTTCTTCTCCGGCAAGACACCATGACCTAAACAAGGTTTCCGGTGTTTCACACTCTCTCTGACCTATCAAATTTTATGGTTTTTATTTAACAAAAAAAATTATGGCGTCCTACTTTTTTTATGGATTCGTGTATGCTGATAGTATATATATATTTATAGCTCATATTGGTTCATCAACGATACATACGCATATATATACACATATTTTTTTTTTCCAGGCCGTTCCAGCTTTCGGCCTCTCGGCAGGAGTAGGAACCCTAAACGCCTTCGTGTTCGAGATCGTGATGACGTTCGGGCTCGTCTACACGGTATACGCCACCGCCGTAGACCCGAAGAAGGGCAGTTTGGGAACGATCGCTCCAATAGCCATCGGTTTAATCGTCGGAGCAAACATCTTCGCCGGCGGAGCCTTCACCGGAGCCTCCATGAACCCGGCCGTGGCGTTCGGACCGGCCGTCGTCAGCTGGTCGTGGCAAGGCCACTGGATCTACTGGGCAGGACCATTGGTCGGCGGTGGTCTCGCCGGGCTCGTCTACGAGTTCTTCTTCATCTCCAACACTCACGAGCAGCTTCCGTCCTCCGACTACTGAGTCACGAACTCGGTGCGGACGACTCGGTCGAGCTCATCTGTGTGTTGTACGTGGATTTGATTTGTTTAAAAGTGTTCAGTTTCGTGGGTTTCTGGCCGTTGGATCTTTAGGGTTGACGAATCCTTTGTCCGTTGATCTATGTTTGTTGTCCTTTCGAGGGTATGAATGGTAATTTTCCTTGGATCTTTGTAACCTTTCGGTCTCCACGCTTTTGTCATAAAACAATGAAAAGATAAAGAATAATTGGGATTAATGTGAAATTTCATATAAAATTAATAGCATTTTCAAATATTTGCAAATTTTACTTATGTAAAAAATTTTAAATTGTCAAATCAGTAATTATAATCCGCACGACTTCTCGTCCGTTGAAACCTTCGCACTTCATCCCAATAGATAATTATTTTAAAATTCTTGCATAAATATTAAATTTGTCCGAAACCACCACTAGCAATAATGCATATGCACATTAAATGGTTTATTTTCGATGGACTATATATATATATATATATTTAAAAAGTTTAGATATTCAAATGCACCCACTCCACATTGAATATTTCAGGATATTTTATTCATATACGGCATAGGAAATTTATTATATTCGACATGGAAATCAGATAACAAATGTCTAGATTTCTATTCGATTCTATTATACAGTGTGAAGTTTGGTCAGTCTCAAAGTGAAGCCCAAAGATTAGCTTACGAACCGGACAGACAGAGGTTTGCAAACAAAACCTCTGTTTCGTTCAGAGTGTGTCATTAATAGAACCTTCGTAAATAAAGGTTTAGGACATAGACTAAACCGAATAGATAAACCGGAGATTTTGTAAAAACATGTTTGGACCGGAAGATTGCAAGTCTAAATCTCGGCCAAGGCTGGTTTAGGGTCGTTCAATGCTTACTATTATTCTTCTTTTTTTCTTAAGTTTTTTTTCAATAATAGTACTATCATAAATAAGGTTTTTTTAATATTGTTTTGAATAATTACAATATAATTTATAAAAACATTCATGTCCGAGTTATTATTTTTTTGATGAAATGTCCGAGTTATTAGTATGCAATCAGTTTTAGATTTTCTTAAATTGGGCCTGGGTTTCGATTGTTTGGAGTGCGGGCCATTACAAAATTAGGTTGTCTTAACTCTTAACGTCATTATTATACTCATTATATATATATATATATATATATTCATTCATAATTCCATACACTTCTCTAATAACAACATTCCCCTATCGTAAGAAAAGTAGTATATATTTTTTTTTGTCAAAGGGAAATATATTTATATGTGATAAAACAAGTAATATATAGGATTAAAGTTTGTCAATAGAAAAATTATTGTGCAAAAAAAATTGTTAAAATAATATCATCGTTGCATGTGAGTCCAGTATATATATATATAGTATATACAATATTATAATATGGCTACTTAAAAATACGTGATTGGAACAGACAATAAATGGTTAATTAATGAAAACGATTTAATAATAGTTTCGTGGGAAATAAAGGAAAAAGAAACAAGTAAATTTCATATTACGAGAAAAATAAAAATCAAATATCGAAGCGCACGCCTCCGAGCCGTCTATCACCTTTTAGACCCACGCCGCTCAAAAGCTCCCCCGCGATTTGTTCCTCTAATTATAGTTTTGTTCCTAACCCTAATCCTTAATTATCTTCTTTCCCTTAACTAGTTATTTTTCTAGATTATGTTTTTATTAAGAATATATATATATATATATGCTTAATCATATTTGTTCGTAGTCCTACTCCTTGATAGATCCTCTCCCTCTAATTGTAGCATTTCCTTTAATTATTTAAGAAATTATATTTTAAAAATTCGAAGAAAAAAAGCTAAAGTGACAATTTTTTTTGTTATATTCCAACAAAATATCCCATTTTAATCCAACCGGCCGAAATATCCAAATACAAAACATTTTACGAAGTAGAAATAAATAGTTTTCAGATGGGGAAAACCACAATTTTATAATTCCACTAGTGTGGTTATATGTATATTTTGTCAACCGTTCACGTGAGCTTCGTCTGACAATAAAATTTATGTTTCGGGATAATCGTCGTCTGTGTAAAAACATTGTGCCCAGTATTTTTTGTATTAAATAAAATTAAAAAACAAATTTATATAGAAAATTTTAACTATAACGACTATATGCATGGACCCCGATATTTTGACAAAATCCACGATAACTGACTTTGTTGACTCTTTTGATTTGAAAGTGGGACCAACACATTCGAAAAAATGTTAAAAAGTATTTGTATGATGAATATTTTAATAACATGACGTGATCGTATACTATAATTTTCGCCTCGTAGGGCCCACCTATGGAGAGAATTCAAAATTTGGTGCGTTGTTTTTCTTTGGGTTTGATATTTCCGATTCGGTTTAGATTTTATTATTTTAAAGTTTTATTTTTATTTTAGAACAATCATGTATTCTATTTTATTAATATTCGGATATTTTTTTTTTTTGCAACTGAGTTTTTTTATGGGTAACTGGATTTTCTAGACCGAAGTCCAGACTAATCCCGGGATCGAGAGTCAATTATGTCTTTTTGCAAATGAGTTCAATAAAAGAAAGGAAAGAAAAACGAAAAATTTAATTTCGATTAGAAGGTTTCATGCGTTATGAAATGAGATTAATCATATTGGAAAAAAAAACGAATAAACGTGATTGAGTTAGCGAATGATCGTTAAAGCTTGCTAATTATGAGAGTCAATATATACACAAATATTAAGGAATATGTATGGGCAAAAGTATACAAATTAATCATTTGAAATTTATGTTATATGGATAGAGATACCGTAACAATTATGTGTTGGAATCATATAAAATAATGTACAATATGCTATTAAAAAGAGGTCGTATATTAAAGAGAAATTAACTTTTTTTTTTCGGACATTATGATTGTTTGTAGAGTAAATAAGATAAATGCAAATACAAGCGCACGCGTGAATATGAGTGAAATAATGCTTTTGTTGCTCGAGTTGTCTTTGAGAGTTTCCAGATGAAATAGAGGGTTTGGAGAAGATACACCAAGGTGTTTTGTAATATTTGTAAATAAAAAATGGAGTTTTTGGGTTTTAATTATTTTTTCATTAAAATAGTTTTTAAGTTTTTAGGAAAACCAAATTTACGAAATCTTGATTGTCAATTTTTTGGTTTTTAAATTTTAAAAACTTCAAAAATCTTTAGCATTCATTTTTAAATATTATGTGAATATTTTGTCTCAAGACATATGGCCACCTCTCAAATTGTTGGATGATATTATTGTTATTATTATTATTATTATACGATTTCATGTTTTTAATAACCAAATTATTTACCATAACGTCCTTTAATCACATATTTAAAAAAAATCATAAAGTAAAAAAAGAAATGGAAAACAACAGTTTTCTTTGGGCAACGATGTCGCCTAAGATCACGTTTTTTTGCAATAAGCTTTAAAATAACGACTATAATAATAATAATAATAATAATAATAATAATAATAATAATAATAATAATATGTTAAAGAATCATTGCTTGATTGATTTAATGAGCCAATGAAGTGTTTAAGAAGCCTGTTCTAAGAAACGAAGACAAAACATATATGCCCCATCATAAAGAATGTGACCCACATCTATTTTTTTTGGATAATCCCACATAATCACACAAAAGAAGATTTATATATATATATATATATATTAAAAATATTTACAGGACCTCTTATATTACCAATACCAATTTACTACAAAAGAAGAATTAAATAAATTTCGTCTGTGTAAATGAATATCTAATATTGATAAAGAATACAGAATATTCAATTATAAAATGTAAATTATTTAAAGAACGGACAAAAAAAACTTTTCAAAATTAACGAACGATCTTTTTTTTTTAACTCGAACTATTCAAATTCACGATATCTTCTTAAGATATTTTTTTTCAGGGTATCTAAGGTTACAAACAATTGTCTCTTTGTACAGATAGAGATATATGATACTTCAAATTTCGATAATTGACAAATCAAAATTTACGTAATAAGCAAATGATTATAAACTCTAAAAAAACTTTGAGTGAAGAGAAGATATATATGTTTTTGTATGAAAATAAAGAATATACGAGATAGTTATGTGAATCATGAATTATGCTTAAAAACATATCATTTCAAATTTCGAATTAAAAGATTCACTCAAAGTAAACATATTTTTAAACTAAACGATGCAGAAGTTAAATTGAAAGATATTTTTAATAATATTATTAATTTTAGATTAAAAAGAAAAAGAATGATTCGTTCATAACTCTATTTTCTACAAAACAATCCAACAAATTCATTAAAGTATACCTTTGTATTTTATCAAATCCAAAGTTTTCCATTTGGAAAGAGTCTCGTAGAACCACCAACTAGGGGTGGCCATTTCGGGTTTCGGTTCGGTTATTTCGGTTATAAAAAAATCATACCCAAACGGTTATATAGATTTAATCGGTTCGGTTCAGTTCGGTATGGTTCGGTTCGGTTTTTGCATAATAAATTTATAACCAAACGGTTATATTTTCCGGTTTATTCGGTTCGGTTTTAGATCGGTTCGGTTCGGTTATGATATATATTTTTTAAAAATTTATTAATCCTATATAAATTTCAAAATATCTATTTAAATAGATGTACAAAATGATTAATCATGTAAAATAAAATTATAAAAAAATCTAAAAACTTCAATAATTAAGATAAAAGTTAAAAACATTACATTTTATAGTTTATTGGGTGAAATATATAAGGTTAAAAGTGAAGTATAAAAAAATAATAATATTAATAATAATGAGGATAAAAATTAAAATATTAAAAAAATCTAATAACGGTTCGATTAACCGCGGTTATTCGTTATTAACCGAACCGAACCCGAACGATTATTCAACTTCCTCAACCATTCGGTTATTAAGCAGATAACCGAACCGAACCGAACTGCTCTTATTCGATTCGATTCGGTTCGATTATTCGGTTAATAACCGAAGTGACCACCCCTACGACCAACCACTCAAGTCCTCTGCGCGAATCAGAAGGCTCACTGATTATTGTTGGTCCAGAAACCTGGAGGGACAGAATGGTAAATGACCACAGACATATTTTATTTCGCCCTAAATATAGAAGGTTATGGTAAGAGTTCCATTTGATTTTTCCTCCCAATATGTCTTATTGGCCACTGCTTGTAACCTGGAATATATAATATAACCATTTAATCTGACATATAATATAATATATTCACTACAAAACACATTCATAAATCTATATAAAATGTAATTATCAAATTAGAAGCAAAAAAAAACCCTCAAGGGAAATTGGAGACTGCTTCCTCGAGACAAGCAGAGTCTCGGTCCTCAAGGTTGTCAGTGGAAACGTCTCTCTCTCTCTCTCTCTCTCTCTCTCTCTCTACGAAGACAAAAATAAATAGGAAAATAATTCCAAGTAAAGAAGGCATTGTTATAAAAGCAATATACACTGTAAAAAGCCACTGGGGTGAACAGTGTCTCTCTCTCAAGAACAAGACATGCTTAATCCTCATTACAACCCATAATTAATGTCCTAAAATCTCTCCCTTGTCCTTTTTTTCCTCCTCTTTACGAAACCCTAACCCTAGTTCTTTGTTTTTTTAGGGTTTTTTTCACCTGAAGAGAGAGGAAGAACAAAGCATCGAGGGATGCTGCAACGAACCTGCATTGTCCTTTTCTCTCTTCTTCTTCTTCTTCTGTTCGTTCCTCGCTTGGGTTTCGCCATTTTTAACCGTACTCTGCTTCTTACGCCGCATCCATACCCGGAACAAGTCGCTTATGATGTCCTAAGGTACATTGCTTCTTGTTTCCCCGTTCTTGACTCTCTGCCCTGGTTCTTGTTCTTGTTCTTGAGTTTTTTGTTTCTGTTCTGTTTCTTGTCCCTGTTCTTGAACAACGATCCCACATTTCGTTGCTCTTGATCTGTTTTCTTGGTTCCCACATGGGTTTAACTCAACTTCAAGCTCATAGTTCATGTTACGATCTCGGCTCGGTATCACATTTTCTTTCTTTGAAGTTCTCTGTTAGCATTTTCCATCTAGGGTTTCAGACCGGTAAACCGGAAAATTTGCTACCGGTAGCCCTAAACCGAAGTGCATTTACAAGCTATTCCCATGCTTCTTATGTAAAACCATGAGCTTCTTGCCTCCACTGCAAAGTTCCATTGTTTTTCCTTCATGGTTCCAAGATTATAGCAATAACGGGTTTAGTTAAACCGGACCGTCTTCCCTGTTTACTTTCAGGAGAGTGAATAGCTCTATCACAAGACGCCAAGCGCTTGATACCACAGAACAAGCCGGTTCAGGACCATGCTTGACCGGGAATCCAATAGACGATTGCTGGAAATGTGACCCGGATTGGCCCAATAACCGGCAACGGTTAGCCGATTGCGCCATCGGGTTCGGTCAGTACGCGATGGGCGGTAAAGGCGGCCGGTATTACATTGTTACCGACTCCTCTGATGAAGATCCCGTAAACCCTAAACCGGGCACTCTCAGGTAAACCTGTTTTGCGTACCGTGTTGAAAAGTTGATTTAATTTAATTATCTATTTTGAAAACCCCACCGTAATCACACTCT